AAGAATATGTGGACATGTTAAAGGGGAAGAATAAAAACAGGAAGGACTGACTTTTGGATTGATACAAGATCAGTAAGGGCTGGATCCCCCACTGGATGAATGCAGAGAGTCAAAGGCACGTATCCTGAAGAATGTGTGTCAGCCTGCCTGTGTGCTTTAGTACCCTGGCACCTGGAATCCTCAAAGTCTAATGTTTAACCATAAATATCTGCTGAGATTAAAGGTCCATGCAGCAAGTTGTCATTTTGGGGGCCAAAAGGAAAAAAAAAAAAAAAAAAAAGAAGAAAGAACATTTTCCCCTGTAGCTCTAGGAAGCAACTTAAGCAAATATATACTCATTTTCTGCTTTCTTTAGCCACCTTATCACTAAATCAGGCCACTTACAGGGATAACACCTTATATTCAGATTAGCGTATTTAGCCTGCATTCCTTTAAGCACATCTAGAATGTGTCTACAAGCAGACAGGAAAGTAAAGCTGTCCACAGGCAACAGGTCTAGACTAAGACTGAAGTTGGATGTGCTACTCAATCCTAAGTGCCTGTGACAGGCAAATGGGAAGACTTTCCTCTCCTTGCCTTCCCTGGTTGCCCAGACATCCTGTTCCCCACTCCGTTTGCAACGATGCTTTGCAGAGGATACATCACTTCACCTAACAGGTCTCTCTTTGTTCACCAGGGAGGACACTGAAGGCAACGAAATGGGTATCAGATGAATTCTCCATCAGTCTCCAGTCCTCAGTCATACTTCTACCATGGGAAGAAGATATAGTTTGATGAGAGCGTCCATATAAATATTGTAGATAGTCAGGAAATAGAAATTTACAGAATAATGGCTGAATCAGCTTGATCAGCCAGGATTATATACAGAAAAATTAGCTGAAAACATAAATTCTTATCTGTCCTTCTTCAACTAGACCAACTCATATTTACAGTTAATTCCTTTGTACAGCTTGTGATCCTGGTATTTCCCGTGTTATTGTACAATGTAGTGCTCAAGGACTGGCCCCAAGCTCTTTTGTAAGAGGTTTGGTATAGCGATGAGCAAGAGTTTTATGAGAAAAACACTTTTTCATCCAAAAATGGCAGCTCAGAGAGATTAAAATAATTGCAAATTTATGTCAAACTCATTAACTTGTTTTGGGTGTTGCAAAAAAATGACACTATGAAAGTTCCTTATAAATGTTTTAGAGGATTTTGTTGGAAGATATTTAATCCTAAACATTTGCAGCATTATTTAAAAGAAAGGGGAAAAATAGCCAAAAAAAGAACACTTACTTAAAAACAATTATGTTTTGTTTGACTCAAAACAACTTTTCTATTGTTGTTTCTGATTACTTTAACATAAATAACTTTAATAAAAATCTTGGATTTGTTCCCTCCTTTCTTTTTTTTTTTCCTGAACTCTGTGGTTTATCCAAGAAAACCAAAAATTCATCTTTACATGCACCAATCAACTTTTACAGAAAAGCACAGTAAAAAGACTCAGTCCATGACCCAAACAGCTAAAAGAGCAGGTAAAAGAGTAGACACACRGGAAAACGAAGAGATTAAAAAAGGGGTACATGATGAAATATATATAATATGGCTGTTTGCAACTGTAGTGGGCCCCACTTTGGTCTGTACTACAGAGACACACATAGACCCATGCACAGACACACATATATATGTCTAACGTATTCTGTGCATCAATTGCATCTTCAATTAAAGGCATCACATGGATTCATTAACATTAATCTTGTGCAGGGTGACCCATTCTGCTCCAGTCATGGTGAGCTCAGCCTACTTACCYGGAAAACATACAGATCATAGAATGCCSAAGGTTGGAAGGGACCTCAGAGGTCATCGAGTCCAACCCCCCTGCWCACRCAGGGTCACCTAGAGCACGTGGCACAGGGCTGCATCCAAGTGGGTTTTAAAGATCTCCAAAGAAGGAGACTCCACAACCTCTCTGGGCAGCCTGTTCCAGTGCTTTGTCACCCTCACAGTGAAGAAATGCTTCCTTAAGTTCCTGTGGAACTTCCGATGCTTCAGTTTGAAGCCATTTCCTCTAGTCCTATCACTGTCCACCACTGAAAAGAGGCCAGCCCCCTCCTCCTCCCTCCCTCCCTTGAGGTATTTATACACCTTGATCAGGTCCCCCCTCAGCCTCCTCTTCTCCAGGCTGAACAGGCCCAGCTCTCTCAGCCTTTGCTCATAGGGCAGATGTTCCAGGCCTCTGATCATCCTGGTAGCCCTGCGCTGGACTCTCTCCAGCAGCTCCACATCCCTCTTGTACTGGGGAGCCCAGAACTGGACACAGTACTCCAGATGTGGCCTCACCAGGGCTGAGTAGAGGGGGATGATCACTTCCCTCGACCTGCTGGAGAYGCTCTTCTTAATGCACCCCAGGATCCCGTTGGCCTTCTTGGCCACAAGGGCACACTGCTGCCTCATGGTCAACTTGTCGTCCACCATGACACCCAGGTCCCTCTCTGCGGGRCTGCTCTCCAGCAGGTCCACGCCTAATCTGTACTGGTGTCCAGGGTTATTCCTCCCCAAGTGCAGGACCCTGCACTTGCCCYTGTTGAACCTCATGAGGTTTCTCACCGCYCAGTCCTCCAGTCTGTCCAGGTCCCTCTGGATGGCAGCACRGCCCTCAGGGCTATCAGCTACTCCTCCCAGTTTGGTATCGTCGGCAAACTTGCTGAGGGAGCACTCCAKCCCTTCATCSAGGTCATTAATGAATAAGTTGAACAGGACCGGACCGAGAACTGACCCCTGGGGGACACCACTAAGTACAGGCCTCCAGCTGGACTCCGCACCATTGACAACCACTCTCTGCACGCTGCCATCGAGCCAATTCCTAATCCACCTCCCCGTCCACACATCTATCCCACACCTTCGGAGCTTGCCCAGGAGGATGCTGTGAGGGACAGTRTCAAAAGCCTTGCTCAAATCCAGATAGACCACATCYACCGCTCTGCYCTCATCTATMCAGCTAGATATTCCTTCRTAGAAGGTGATCAGGTTAGTCAAGCAGGATTTCCCCTTGGTGAATCCATGCTGGCTACTCCTGAGMACCTTCTTCTCCTCCATGTGTCTGGAGAGAGCAGCCAGGATGAGCTGCTAGGGAGTGTTTTCCCTTTAATTTTCCTTGTGGAAAGTAGAGATCTAGCAACGACTAAGGACCAGCAATTATGAGGATGAGCAAAGAAGAGCTACTGAGTTGGGGGATGTACAAGTTCCTAAACTCTGGAAGATAAATTTCCAAGGGCCAAATTCTGCTTATTGGCATCACCTGGAAGTAATGCTACACCAAGAGAGAATCTGGTACCACAGAAGTCCTGTGCAAACAAGAAATGTCGTTTCTTTTTCTTTTTCCTTCATTCTCCAGTACAGGTACCTGCATTTTACTGTGCATAATATCCAGTGTTACAACATTCAGGAGAGTGAAGGAGCAGGGGGAGGGAAGAGAAGGAGACAACCAGGAATTTCTGTTAGTATCAAGCTGTGCCTTTTCAAATGCCAACTTTAAGCTAAATAGAACTGCAGATCAAGATGAAAAATATGTAGGAAAGAAATGCAGAAATGGGAAGAGAGGAAGAAAAAAAATCCCCATTCATATTTGGGCAGTAAGAAGAAAACACTGCAATTTTGTTATAGCCTTGGAGGCAGGCAGCATTTACCATATGCTGTTACCTCTGTTACACAAGAAGATAAACCCTGTGGAGTGCAGGTTGTACTGTCAGTGCAGTTTAGATGGTGGGGATTCCTGGCATTCATTATGAGCAGGTGCCAGGGCATGCAAAAAAAAAAAAAATATATGAACCAAAATAAAGTCCAGGTTCCTTGTGCACAAGTATTCATGCAGCAATGTGCAAGTACTAAGTGGTAACACTACCAGGATATCAGCACTGGTATGCAATTTATAACCAGGGTGGAAAAGGTTGAGTAAAATGTAGTGTGTTTGTGCCTAGACAACATATTAATCAGCCCTCTAAGCAGCCAGTTAGAGAGGGATCCTTAGAGGAAAAGCCTTTCCTGGGTATAYATTAGACATTTTGTTTAAAGATTAAAGTTCTTGCATTTAATCAGTTTTAGAGCAGGATGGGAAGCGGGGTTAATTACAGCCCCTTCCATCAGTCTCCCATACTGCTGGAGTCACAAATGATGCGCTTTTTCGGTAAAATGGCCACCGTCAGCAGCGGGCGCAGGAAACGCTAATTGTAATTAAAGAGTTTATTTGGAATCACAGAGCAGAGTTGTAATCAGGAGGAGAACGGAGCCTTGCTGTGTGAACTTTCAGAAAGTGCTTATGGAGCCAAATGGGTCTTTTTAAAACAGGGAAAGAGTTCTTCAGACTTCTGGAGTGGGGATTCAGCTTGATTATCTCCTCAGTGGGATACAAATAAAAATCCTTACCAGGCCAATGATTGTTATTATTTCACCCTTTCCTAGAAGTTAACATGATATGTCTTACTTGGGGCTCTCAGAAAGACTTTGCAAAGGGCAGATAAGTTCTGATCTGGTTTTAAAACAAATAAATGAAACCATAGGAGGGATAAGGACCAACAGATGACATGATTATGCAAAAAGAAAAAAAAAGAAACTTGGGGCTCTCAGAAAGACTTTGCAAAGGGCAGATAAGTTCTGATCTGGTTTTAAAACAAATAAATGAAACCATAGGAGGGATAAGGACCAACAGATGACATGATTATGCAAAAAGAAAAAAAAAGAAAAAAAAAGAAAAAAAGAAAAAAAGAAAAAAGAAAAAAAAAGAAAAAAAAGAAAAAAAGAGAAAAAAAAAGAAAAAAAAAAGAAAAAAAAAGGGCACTTTTGGAAACATACTTCTACAATGCACCTTGCTACCTCTGTTCTGGAAAAGCCTCATACTATCTAGGATAAGAACTATCCCAAATTCAGCCTTGCTCTCAGCCAAAGCCTGGGCTTGCACCCAAGTCTTGTTGGTCAGGGGTATCGCAAATACCTTTGCAAGTACTCTAGACAGCACAGGAACTTACCAGTTTGTGCGTAAAACTGTGTCCATTCAAATTCTGACTTTGGGAAAACGGAAGCAGGTGGCTCTAGGTCCAGGATACCTCCATCCAAATCCTTGAAAAGGGCCTTTCTTGAACTTTTGCATCTCTTCTCAGGGACTGTGATGTCCTCAGAAGGATGTACACTGGGAAGCAGGAAAAGTATCCTCATTTTGAGAAAGACAGCAAATGAAATTGCTGTGTTGTTGCTTAGAAGTTATTTACACTAGCAGCAAGCACTTTTACATATACAAACAAGGTTTTGRTATTTATTAGCATGGCCCTTAGAGCCAGCTGTACAGTTGTATTTTAAATATTTCTAGTTTACTTGTGGATTTCCTTATACAAGGAATTTTGGTGAGGTAATCATCAGTATCCATGTGCCATTAATTCTTGACCTGCAGTAAATCAAGCTGTGTAGTTACTGGGCATAGCAGAAATGCTATGTGTCCAGGAATGTCTCTGCTGCAGTAGTCAGTGCTAATAGGGCACTAYGATTGTCCAGTTGTTGCTCTTCACACATACTGAGTGATAAATTGTTTTTTATCTTAAAGGCAAGTGCAGATATATCTTGCCTGAAAGCTATGCTTGAGACAGGATTTCATCACCCAGTCACAAAGATCTGATAATAAGTGATTAGTCCACCTACTAATGGTAGACTCTCAACTAATGATTAGCTATTTCTTTTTTTTTTATTTCTCTTGGCAAGTTCAGCTTCTAAGATTAGAAATAAAACATACTTCTAAAGTAAGAGTAACAAGTTAAAAAATGCTATACTATTAGTTCAAGCAGGATTTCMAAAAATCTATTAATTGATATTTCCATATTAAACTACAAGTCTGACTTCCTATTACAAAATGTAATATAATAATCTGTATTCCAGCACAGTCCATGCGAACATGTTCAATTTCCTTCATGGATACTCTCTAAGTCATGATGGAAATTAGAATTCCTTAAACTCAAGTTGGAACAAAACCTTAATTGATATTTTCAGTGAGTTCAACTGATATAGGCAGAGATCTCTGGTAATGTCAGAGAAATAAGTAGGCAAGTGCATTCAGTCAGCAACAACTCAGAAGAGGTGGACAGTCAAGATAGTTCTTGTAAGTCTAAGAGTTAGTTCAATTCCTGAGGATATCAAAAGAGACTCATCATTTCTGTTGGTTAGGTCTACCAAAGGGACAAGCAAAATGCTTCAAGCTCCTGCCATATTCCCTGATGTTTCTCTTTCACCTCCTGCGCAAAAGAAATCCCCACCTTCTTCTTGACAGGAGATATTCATCAAGATATTCCTTYGGGATGCTAAAGCAGAGCAATGAGGCCACAGCAGGGATCAACCACAGCAGTGAAAAGGAGAGTTAGATAAATACATGCAGATAATGCATGAGAAGCATTAAAATGTCCCTCAGAGGTCTAGTGCACTACCRAGAATGAATTCAGTAATCCGCGTGCATTCATTGTGGTTGAAAATCACCAGCTCTTGCAGTGGACTATACATTCAGCAGCTCACTAATAGCCTAATATCATGGGATGGATACAAGAGTGTAACATAATGGGAGCTGACAAGCTGGACAGGTCTCAGAAATCTACACGCAAACTAATGCCCAGAGCAAAAAAGTAAAAATATAGAATAAAATAAAAGTTCTGGCAGAAAGCTGGAGGGGCTTCAAACATAGCAGAGTGGGACACCTCCAATTATTTTTGACTGGCAAGTGGAGTCTATGCTAGATGTATTTGCTACTTCAAGGCTTTCCTGACATTGCTTCTATATTGTGCTCACCAGTTGTAATAAATAAATTGGCATGTGGTTTCCAATGTCTGAAGTGCTGCAACCAGCGCTGAGTGAAGGCTGCAGATGAAGCTCCCATCCATCCTGCTCCAAGTTCTTCCACATGCAGCCCAGGCATGAGCAATCCTGGCACTCATTTGACATCTCACAGCCTGCCTGGTACCAATCAACATTCCTGATGTGATCTCATAGGCAAAAATTAAGCTCTGCTTCCCAGACCAAGAGGGCACTAACTCAGGGTTTTCTGCTGGAGATCCTGACATTTGTGTGAAGCCTGAGGCTGAGAAGCCAGAAATGCTCAGGACAAAGTGTTAAGAAAGGGGATATGTGAATCTTATTTTGCTATACAAATGTTAGTAAAAGGATAACTCCAAGATGATTGGCRCAGAGATACCCCTTGACTAAATTTTTGAATATCAACTCTTTCAATATTGCTCTAAATGAACAGAAGTTTGAGGTGTTGGGTTTTATTTATTTATTTTCCCTTATATTCAGGCTTTTTGCTTGTTTGCTTGATTGAGGTTTTGGTTTGTTCTTTTTTGTCAGACAGGAGCCATACAAGAGCAGAAACAGACAGAAAGATGGGACTGCCGTGTAGCTAGATGTCCAGGCTAAATAATCACTTACACTTTCTATCTAACTGTAAAGACAGCAACATGATTTAAACCAAAACATCTCCCAAAACTGAAGCATTTATTTATTAGCATAAATAATTATTAAAAAAAAAACTTAAAAATGGGTTATATTACCTTGCTGGTGGCTGATGAAAGTAGAACTTGTCCTTCTCATTGACTTGTAACATCCTTGATCTCTCTGCTGTGATAAGAGGCATGATGTCTAGCTGGTCAGTGCTGGACATGATGCAGACGTCTCTATCTTCACTATAGCAGCTCTTTATAAAACCCGTAAAGGTGACTTCTGTTAATGGTTAAAGAATAACAAACAAGGAAAGAACCGCAGTGAGAAAGGCTCTGTTCTATGTCTTTGTCTTCTCTATCTATATTAAATTGCTATCATATATACATATAAATCATTTTTARTCAGACTTATTGCATTGGTCATAGACTTTCAGTTTTCTTTGGAATGTTTTACAGAAGAAGTTATATCTTAGGTTGGCATAAACCAAATCATGCCCATAGGAAATACAATCAAAGGATATGTTAATTGGTGAGAAGGAAACATAAGCAAGAGGAACTAATGGATTTTCATTGGAATCAATCAGAACCAGCTTAAAGACAAGCTGACATTGATGGTATATCCACCTGTCATATGTTAATAAAAGATGAGGTGTGTTCAATGACACATACTTGACTAAGAACTGCCTGCACAGTTCCTATATATATATATATATATATATATATATATATATATGTAACAAGACTATTTTCTCCTTGGGACTTTGTCTCTGAAATTTAAGAAATGTTTGTATCTAATAGACTGGCTTCTATAACTGAATCATCTGAATTTCAGACTAGGACTTTGTAAAAGATTTTATTTATTTTTGGGAGGTCTGTTAGTATTAAATTCACTACTTCTGTATTTCATGTATATATATTGCCTTATGCATCATCTCTGTTGACTCGTCTGTGCTCTTTTACTGTATTATGTTTTGGATTGTCATCCTAATTCAATCCATTCCAGAAACTGGTTTCTCTGGACAGACTCTTTGAATTCCCTTCATTCCTAGATTATCTTGAAGATCAGCAGAGTTATTAATGTCTGTGAGGAACCATATTTCAAAATTTAGGTTTGTTTAGAGGAATGGGTATGTATGAAAAGTATTTCCTGGTGCTCTTGCTGGGTTTGAGTAGGATGCATAGATTTTAAAACATTGCTCAGCATGTTGAATAATCACAATACCTCTCATATTGCATCAGAGTGATTGTTGCAATCACTCTATGTAATGGACTCAAGGGTACATTAACTAACAAATTATATAAACGAGGGACCTATTTATACATCGACACTTAGAGCAGGAACAGAGAGAATTACTGTTTTTAAATAAACTATTTTAGAACATCTTTGGCAGGGAGTTCAGATCTGGGCGATGTGCAAACTGTGGCAAACAGTCCCTGTTTTGAGAGCTCTATGTTTGTACTTTGTGCTGCATAGTATGGAGAGGAACTGGAACAACTCTTCATAGCATGAATCCTGAGAATATATCAGGTGTGCTGTGTAGGAAATTCCAAACTCTTTCAGATCAAGGAATTAAAGCTACCAACCCCAAGGGATTCTGTACAGATTTATTGTTTACAGGCTTCAGTGCTTTGATAACAAAGCTAAAACATAAAGTTCATGCATTACAATATTGCTAAAGAGAAATACCAGTACTTGAAAGGCAGGGATACTATTTAAATATGAATGCACGAATGACTGAGCAAATGGAGGCACCGAACAAATTCAGACCTTAAAGCATAGCCTGAGCGGAGATGAGGCTGACAGGTGCCATGTTCTGCAGACATAAATGCACATCATGTTAAACAAAAAAGAAGTTTCTTTCAGAACGGTGTGAACCACTGAAGCCACTTCAACCCTAAACCTCAGTATAAACCTCAGGATAGAGCTTGGATTCTCCTGTATGTCAGAGGGGAGAAGGTTAATGAATTACCTCCTCCTCCTCCCTCAGCTTCTCGYTCTTCAACTAGAGAGTTGTATCAACTCAATGAAGATGCCATACTAGATTATCTGAACATTACTATTTCTCAGCATTATACAGGTACTTTATTTATTTATTTGTATGTTTGTTTAAAGTGAGGCCACTGTCTTCACTGGAACAAGCTGTGATCCAACAGCTAGACAGCAGCAATCAGCTTCTTCTTTCCTCATTGTCCCTAGAGGTTCCCAGTTCCAGTTCAGATATCATCTTCTACCATGCCACCTTCCAAGCGTACTATAATTATTTATTTTGCTCTTCCTTTTAAAGGAATTTTAAAGGATGTGCAAACCTACATTGAGAAAATGTTCATCCTAACCTGCAAATAAACAGAATAAGGGGAAAAGATGTTTTTTTTTTCAGAGTTAGGAGGTCTAAACTCAAATCCATGCTTTGAACAAGTTTTCCATCCTGCCCTGAACGAGTCCGTTTGTCATCTCTGCCTCCTTTATTCTTCAGAAGAAAGGAGATAATGCAGTTTCTCACAACAGTGGGCTGCAGTGAGTTATAAGGACATGAAAAACTATGAGGTATTTAGATCCTACCATGATAACCATCTATTTATGTCTAGTATTATTCAAACATTATTATTCTGGGAATTGTAAATTGAACCGTAATGAAAGACTCAGGATATAGAACTTATTACTCCCTTCCTTTACCATGCTGATGGAAATGAAAGACCAACCTTTTAACTTCATGAGTCCCAATACCTTCAGACAATGCCCAGTTTTGTGCCATGGGCTATCTGGTCTTTGGCTGAATGTGGTGGTAAATGTAGGCCACAGTATCCCAACACGGCCCCTGCGGGGGTAGGATGGTGGTCGGTCCCCAGAAGTTGGGTCAGCAGAGAGAGGTTTGATCCTGTCCTTGATGCAGTCAAATGTTGAGCTTGTTGCAACAATGACAGAGTTTCTAAGTTCTATGTATCTTTTCCCTGTGTGGCACTGCTCAGCATATAGACAGTACACTGCTGGCAAGAGACCAACACTGTTGTCCACCAGCACCACATTGTCCATGATGACACTGCTTCCAAGATGGAACATGATACCATARTAATAATTCTTGTACGACAGGAATCCTGTGATTTTAGTGCAGGTCTGAAATCCATCTTCCCTGAATAGATGAACACCATGGAGACTTGAATGGGCCACATTTTCACTGTAATAATCTCCATCAAGCAAGCACTCTTGACCCTTGATATGAAAGGCAATGCGATCAGATCCTGCCACAACATTGCCATGAAGAGAGACACCAATGACAAGGTTGACTTTGATGCCAGAAACCCAGTTTAATAACCCTTCTGGCTGCCTGCTCAGAATGACAAGGTTTCTGAKGAGAGAATGATTTTGCCCTTCCAGATCAATGCCAGGTCCAAATGTGTTGAACACCATGTTCTCATGCAACAAGATCCCATTGCTCATGACTGCTTTAATGCCACCTCCACAGCTACCATGAATACTTGATGAAACCATCAGTGATCCTTGGGTTACATTCCTGAATTCGACGGCAGAGAGCTGAGGGGGCCCAAAGTTCAAAAATTCAACATTTAAGAGTTGGAGGATACCTGCAATGAGATGGAAGATGCAACCTGAATGAGATGGAAGCTCACAGTATTACCTGAGAGCTCATCAAGTGACAMCCATTTAGATGCAAGACAAACACATAACAGCAGAAAGTCTTTATCAGTGCTTTACCATTTATGGYCACTTATTTTCATAAAGAAATCTAAAGTTATGGGGAAAAAAAAGACAACAATTCATGAATATATTCCAATGTTATTTCTGTAACATTTTGAGTACTTCATACATGCAGCACAGCTGTAGTTTGTTTAGCATCATATAGCACATACAGATGGATACATCTGCTTTTGGTAGAGTCCTGTTCTGGGCAGAAGTGGACTGGCTCTGTAAGGACAGTTAAGTCTCAAATACCTTCAAACTCTGTTCCACTGGAATCTCTAAAATGTCCCACCAGAATCCTCCCAGCACAAGCCACATCAGACTTGATCTGCACATTGCGTGTTAGGAGGCCAACCTCTGCAGCCAAAGGAATTTGTCTACCGTCTTCCATGTCATGGGAACACCCTGGGGAGTTTCAAGAGAGAAAAAGTGATAAATGTCTATCATATCTATAAACCAGTGCTTCTGGGGACATCACGCCTGACAGCTGATGCATAACGTCTCTGCAGAATCCGCACTGACATTCAGGTATGTTTTCCTCCAGCATAGTCTACATGCATCAACACAAAAACATAAAGGCCACCTGTCCATCAAATATTCACCAGGAGCTTAGATTTTACCAACATATTTTGTTCTTCACAAAAAAAAGGTGCTAAATCTATCCCCTACAGTGTGCAGATGCCAAACCAATGAATAGATTCACATTTCATTTTCATAAGCTATATGTCCAAGCTTTGGTACATATTACAGAGCTGATCTCCATGAGTTTTTTGTTATAACCAAGTTAATGGCAGTGCTGAAAAACAATTTTCTATAGAGATTTGCTTWCAGGTCTTTTTTTAAACAAAATCTTTGTAAATGAAACTTTTGCAAGAATCAATGCAGCATCCATGCAGCTTAGAATTTATCTCTAATAACTTTGAACATGAACAGATCTGATCTAGTTATTCAAACTGTTTTTGTATGTATAATGGAGAGCAATAAGCAATTCTCAAGTGCAGATCATCATCTATTTTAAACATCTACTTTAGGATGAGATGAAATACAAGTGAGCAATATGTATTATTCTGAATCCAAATATTTAGGCAGTTCTTATTTCTTCCATCAGTCATCTTTTCTTCTCAGCTATGCCTTACAACTGCTGTAGTATGTATGTAAGCAGTTAATCCCAGGACACACTAACTACATCTATATTGCCATTAAAAAAAGAGGTAGAAGTGTTCTGAATCCAAGGTCAATTGGCAGTTTTCCTCAATCCCTTCCCCACAAAAAAAAAAAAAGAGAGAGGGAGAGAAGGATCTGCCCTAACTACTGGAAATGAGGCCTAGCCTATGGTATCCCTTGAGCTACATTATTTGGAAAAAAATGGTAGCTGTCATACCAAAACTGTGCGAGGAGGGCTGGTGCCAATTTAACACTATGAATGATTGAAGAACAGGTCTGCGTTCCAAGAGAGGTTTAGTTTAGTAGCATAGATAAGCATGGAAAACACTCAAATTCACTTGTTACACTAACTTTTGCGGCTACTAGTTTGAACAAAAGTTGAGGGAAAAAAAATCAYRAATAAGAAAAATCCTACCACTTTTAGAAACTTGGAATTTGAATCACAGATAATTATTTTTCTTGGTACAGAAATGGTAATAGATTTCTCTTATATAAAATAATAAAATTAAATAAATTACCAATAGTGCATCTCTTCTTACACTTAAATACAGATCACATGTAATCTGYATAGGAAATAAAGTATAGTAGATTAAGAGACAGAGGCACCTCTCCAGGTACATTATATATATATTTTTTATTTTCAAGTACGCATTATATTACAAATATATCAATTTCGAGCTATAGAGTTGGTCACAATTTTTCCTCTGAAGTTTCATGAAATTTCTTTTTCTTAGATTCAAAACAAGTTTTGTAAAATTGTCATCCTTTTTGGCACACTACAGAAATTGTCCTGAAAGTCTACATTTAGAATTAATGTTAAAATTTCAATTGCTTTCTATGTTAGTCAGTTGTAATTATACATATGAAAAGCTAGGAAATTAATTTTATTCCTAGAAATTAATGTTGGAATCCCCTATTTGTGAAATTTTGAACAACAAAATTGCAGTATCAAAACAAGAAAAAAATTACAGAGAAAGAAAAGAGATACCCCAAGATTAGTCAATGCAAAGCAACCAAATCAAAAGTCAATGCAAAGCAATACAGAATAAAGAGCTCAGAAGAAAATGTTCTCAGATGGCAAGACATTTCTTACCAATATGCCTGTGGAGAAGGCGTTCATGAATCCTAATGCTATGGCCATTTACTTCTTTAAGTGTAACTACTTCAGCTTGATGGGCTTCATAAGAGGAGGAGCTGATCACAATATGCCCACCATGATTCCAGTCTACTTCATCCTTCAGCAAAATCCTGCAAAGCCCAGATATTAAATGTGATGGCATTACATTATGAGAGAATTATGCTCATAGGTTTCCTAAAAAGAAAATTATACTCTTGCCAAGGCAGATCTAAAAAGAAGCTTCAGGGTATCCTCTAGGAAAAATCCTTTAGTGTTTACTGCAACCAAAAACAGATGTCTAAAATAGACAGGATGAAATTCACTGTGAATCAAACAATTTGTCCAACAAGGACATATCATGGCATTTTAGGAGCTAGAAACATCCTATTTGGCTTCCAACTATTGCTCTAAAAACCTAACATTTTTGTAGATGTTATATCATATTTGCCAGTGTGTGATGAATGATTCAGACGCTCCAATTCACTCCACATTAGACACCTATATCTATAAAACTGAACCAATACCCTTCCTTTAGACAATTGATTTAATTTCTGGAAAGTAAAAGTCATCTCTGGACTTCACAGCAAATATAGGTGTCTGTTCACATGTGCACTTCACGGTTAAGCTTCTGCTATATATCATGATTCTGTCAGTAGAGGGTAGATCATTGAACAAATTCAGAGAATGAGTCAGCTTGTGGCACATGTTTGGGACTTTGAAACTTCACATGCAGTCACATAAGGAGCTAAACCTTAAGTGCAGGCCCAGGTATACAATCCAATAATAATTCACTTCTTGCAAACACATCAAATTTGCTTCCCAGGGCTCCTGAAATTCAAAATCTCCTAAGACAGAATCGTAGGCAAAAGAAGGCACGATTTGTATGAGACACCATCTAAGTCAATGACCCGATCTGCTGAAATACTAATTTAGATGCTCACAGTCTGTTCTTTTATGTAAAGAAGCAATTCTTTTTGAAAGCACCACTCCTTCTCTGACTCACTTGCTGATTCATGTTATAAAACTGAAACGCAATTCATGACATTTAGAAAGATACAACAATTTCAATCAATTAAAAAAAAAAAAAAGACATTTCCTTTAGCTTTCATATTCTAGTGCTGATTTGCCCAATTTCTGTATCTAGCCACATTAACTCTCATCTGGTTATTAGTAGGTCTGGAAAGAATTTCTTTTTTTTTTTYYTTTTTTTTTTTTTTAATTAACAGTGGAAACAATTGTTGTTCCACTACTTAACGCAGATGAATGCACTCCAAATACTTGTATCTTAACACTTTATGATATTCCATATAAAATATCTGGGCAGCAGGCCAACAGTAGCCTGGATACATTTCATTCAAGCATTTAGCTGGCATGCTTCAGTCAACAGTCTACTTGTCATAGATTCCCATCCTAATCAAGTGAAATAGAGTAATTTCCAGGGGGTCCTGCTGATGTTGCATCAACTGAATTATAGTTTGAAGGTATCTGTCTCTTCCGGGACTACACAGGAATCCTAAACAACTTATTTACATTGGAAATTCAGCTCTGTAAGAGCTATCAACAAATGAATCCTACCTGTGGGGTCTTTGTGCCTCCATTTCCCATTTCCCCATCACTTAAATCCTAACATTTCACCTCTGCCTACAAGGGAAATCTTCTGATGGGTTTTGGTTAGGCATATCTRGATTTTTTTTTCTTTGAACACATGTCTTTTTACTAAAAATGACATATTTGGCAGAATTTCAGCAAATCCCAAAGAAAATTTCATATAAAACAGTATAAAGAATGAAAGATCTAGAAACACAGGTACCAAAACCTGCTAACAGTGGCCATTTTCAGGAGGGATCTGCATGAAGACATCTTCTCCAAATCAGATCAAAAGCTTGAACATCAACTCATAGAAACACACTTATTTAACAAGCAGCTGTGACAACTCCACTTAACYAGCCTTAAGAAGCTCTTCAGGCTGAGCCTAGATTGAAGTTGCTGATTCATGTTCATGTCATGGTATCACTGCAGGGGATGTAGCAGTTTACACAGGGGCAACAATAGGGAAGAGGAAGGTAATATTTTAAGTTATTTTTACAGCTTAAAAATGATATTTCTTTTATTTATCACYTAATAAATGAAAATGTGTGTTTACCTTGACATCTTCATATCCAAGGCAAATATCTTACCCTTCGGGTTATACATATAGCCTTACTTTCTTTGAGATAACTACTACTTAATTAATACTACATACATACATATATATATATATATATATACACATTTTTATATAAGCATTATATATAAAAACATTAATATAATAATTGATTGATTTATAATAATTAATTAATATTTAAGCATTATATATATGAAGTAGACTTTAAAAGAAGAGATTAAGATGTTCACTCCACAAGCCACTTGTTGAAGTGTTGTTCATCTCAGTTCTGCTTAATTCAGAGATGACATTTGAACACAGGTCTCAAAATTAATATCCTAACCACCAAAATACTAGCCATGCTGGAATGCATTTTTTTTCATTTAAAAGTGAAAAGGAGAGGGAGAGGGAAGAAGGGAAGGGAAGAAAGGATAGAAATGRAAGGAAGGAAGAATAGGATGAAGGCAGAAAATGTTAACTTCTTTATCTTTAGGACTAACATGGCATAATTTTCTTGCATAYTGTAACATTTTTTTTCTGCCTAGCAATAGTTTAAAAAATGCCCATCACAAAATAAAATGCCAATATTAATATCAATTATAAGCACATGATCCCAAACTTGGCATCTGAAGGCATATTTTGGACAAAATACCACCTTTCATTGCCAGGTGCAACGTCAATTCCCAGATGTGTCCAAGATCTCCCAGGATAAGCGCTATGAATTTGCACCTTTCCATACACTCCTGGAAAAAAATAAATAAATAAAGATCAAAGATTAGAAATGAGAAAGAACTCAGCTCATAACTAAAAGTAAACAAAATTTTATGTATGTTAAATCATGTCTCTATATGAAACATATAAGAATGCCATATAGTTTCTATTTAAAATAGAAAGTGAATCCAAAAAATGTCACTAATAAAGTAGAATGACCATCATATGTAAAGTCAAGAAAGGGCATTGAGTCACACAAATCTGGGAGTTTCAAGCAAAGGTACCTAACTTTGAAAACTTTCTACCTAAGTCAAAGAAACAAAATAAAAAACAAATAAAAGGAAGAAGAAGAAAAATAGAACAGAATGAAAGATGTATTTATCTAATATTTGTACTTCTGGTGTGTGAAAAATGCCAGTAGTTCAATATTTATAATATTTTCTTGGTAAAAAAAAATTTTGCTTTTTTTTTCCAAAAAAAAGAAAAGACTAGACTCCTAGTTCTAATGCAACCATTCGGCACAGTATCTATCAAAGCATATCCTTGTATTCTGTGGCAAGTGTGGGCAATTTGAGTTAGATTATCCCATAAAGAAAGAGGATTAAAATAAGTTGAATGATCTTGCGTTTGTGGTCATTTAAGATCATGATATGGACAGCTGAAAAGTCTCATTTCACTTACGATATGCTAAAATGCAGCAACTCATCTATCTGCTTTTCTAGCCCCTGAAATCATAAGAAACCCAATTGCCAGTTATAGTTATACTTTATAGTTATACTATAAAGTTTATACTATATATATAGTATAAAGTAATATTAAATAAATTAAAATTTAAAAACAAAACTGAGACTCTATTTCCCTTCTCAGCTTTCTTCCTCATCTTCCCAAAGCATCCCATTTAGCTATTTGTTAGAATTTCCTGATCAGCACGTGCAACAATTTCTCAATGTCACTATCAGAAGCAGGCTGGTAATTTCAGTTTCCTCCTCTGAATTGTTCCAATATTCCACAAGTCTAGATTCTGGTAATGTCTCTTGATAACACTTTGAATTTCTACAGTGTCTWCATAAGAATCCACCAATTGATGAAGTCTTGTAATAAAACAGGTTGCTTGTTTGCTTAAAACATGYTTTAAATCATGAAAAATGAATCACACAAAATTAACTTAGCCTTTTGATTATGATCTATGAGGAGATTTAAAAGTTCTGTTGCTAATCAATATAGGTCAAAATATTTGGAAGTATTTAAATTTGAGTATTCAGATTCAGCCAGTTGTTTTTGAATATAAGTTGTTTAACTTAAATCAGGCATTTAAAAAGAGTCGTATAAATTTAAGCTCATTGTCCTAAGCTAGAAACTCTGAGGGAAATTGGTCTCATCTTGAGATACCGATCAAAAATAAGTGAGATGAAATGCCCTCTGGATGTGTGTATTTCTCCCTACTTGATAAAATGATTTTAGTTTGAATACCTTTGCTTTGACAATTACTTTTTATAAGTCTAAAACCTAGAACCTAACCATGGACAGTTCAAAATGAAACCCATGTACGTATTTTTGAGTCGTTTCAAGTTGTCTCTGATTTCACAGATTAGAGCCTCAAGATCTGATATCTAGTTGTTAACTCAGGAGAACTCTTATTCACTTCTGTTATTTTCTTMCTGAAAATACCTCCACAAAATCTCCAGGATTTGACCTGCTAAAATTGAGATAGTAAAAGTACTGGATTGCTTCATCCCCAAAAAGTATGTGCAGCTTTGTTAGATGTTTTCCTACACGACATAGTAACCTGCTCAACAGCAATTAATGTGGCATAAGATTATTCTCCTACAAAAAGGTGAATTCTTGTTTCATATACCAATACTTCCTGCGTGGATATTTATTCCTTCCAGACGATCACAGTAAATTTCCTCAGATGCCTGAAGAAGGATCAGTAGCTTCACATTTCTTTCTAGAGGATGCTGAAAAGAACCTGCCATAAGGGAAAACAAAAAACAAACAAAAAAACAAAAAAAAAAAAAAAAAGGAAACAAAAAAACAACAGAGATGTTAATGCACATGTTTCATAAAGTGCAGAAACTAAGAGGACATGAAACCAAATTTAGACTCCCCAGAAAAAGGAATCTAAAGGAGTTTGACCAAGGTCACACAATGAATCTGTGGAAAATCAGATGGCTTGTTTTCACCTCCCCAATCTCTGAACTACTGTTTCCTTCCTCAGCCCAAACTTCAGAAAGTTTTGGTGTGTGCAATCTTKCTCTTATCTTGTGGTGATAAGTCGGTACAGTAAACTGTATTCCAACTGTGACTTCATTTATTTCACCAAGGGTAGTTTACAGTTTCAGAAGAAAATGGCCCAGCACTAAATAGATAGTAGGGAGGAAAAAGTAGGACAGTTTTTGCCCTGGAGAAATGTATGCGGAGTCCAGTAAAAGAGTTCAGCGTTGCTTTAAAATTAGAGATTAAATCAATTATGCAACAGAAAAGTGCAGCAGATGTAGAACTAAAAAATATATACATATCTGTACAAAATTAGCTGGCCTGTCATGATCTTTTAATATTGAAAAATTACTAGTTTGGAAAAGAGAGGTGATTTTATATCCTAAAGAAAGAGGATTCTTTTTCAAAGCATTTTCAAATGAAGTGCAATCAATAATACATATATTGGTCCTCAACAGTGCTTGACAGTTATCTGTGGATATTTAAATTCTCTGTAAAGCTTTTAAATAGGAATAAGACAAACACTGCAAGACTTGTGGCTTTCCATCTGGTAGCTTCTGCAGGGACATAGAGTATTAGACCTTTCATCGACTGTTTTCCATCCAATCCATCCTTAATCTTCCTTAAAATCCCATATCTGTAGTTTGCACAAAAGAACATCAGGAAACATGCCATAACCAAATGCTAGTTTCAGATGAGAAAAATAGTGGTAAGCATCTTCACCACCAGTGGAAAAAGCTTAACAAGTATTCAGAGAGAGCTACAGAAGAGCTGTATAAAAAGATCTTGCCTGGCTTTGCATGCAGAGTGCTTTTTCCCCATTTTATCTTCACAGCCTAAACAYATCCAACTCCTCATCTGTGAAGAAAATATCAGCTACCTTGAAGACCAAAGAAAGGCTCTGCAAAATGTTTTGGATAATTTTATACTGATATTACTGTTATTGATGTCACATGATGTTTATAAATCACAGAATCACAGAATATTTAAGGTTGGAAGGGACCTCTACAGATCATCTAGTCCAACCTTCCTGCTCAAGCAGGCACACCTACAGCATGTGGCACAGGGTGGCATCCAGAGTAGGAGACTCCACAACCTCCCTGGGCAGCCTGTTCCACTGCTCTGTCACCCTCACAGTAAAGAAGTTSCTCCTCACCTGGAGACGGAACTTCTTGTGCTCCAGCTTGTGGCCATTACCCCTCATCCTATCGCTGGCCACCAGTGAGAACAGCYTGTCCCCTTCCTCCCTGCATTCTCCCTTCCTGAACTTATACATATTAATCATATCCCCTCTSAGCCTTCTCTTCTCCAGAGAAAACAGGCCCAGCTCACTCAGCCTCTCTTCATACGAGAGATGTTCCATTCCCTTAATCATCCTGGTTGCTCTTCTCTGGACCCTCTCAAGAAGCTCCACGTCCCTCCTATACTGGGGAGCCCAGAACTGAACACAGGACTCCAGGTGTGGCCTCACCAGAGCTGAGGAGAGGGGCAGAATCACCTCCCTTGACCTGCTGGCAACACTCCTCCTGATGCAGGCCAGGATCCCATTGGCCTTCTTGGCCACAAGGGCACACTGCTGACTCATGGTAAACTTAGTGTCAACCAGGACTCCAGGTCCCTCTCCGCGGAGCTGCTTTCTAGCAGGTCAACCCTAATCTGTACTGGTGCCTGGGGTTATTCCTCCCCAGGTTCAGGACCCTGCACTTGTCCTTGTTGAACCTCATGAGGTTCCTCTCTGCCCAACTCACCAGCCTGTCCAGGTCCCTCTGGATGGCAGCACAGCCCTCCGGAGTGTCRGCCACTCCACCCAGCTTGGTGTCACCTGCAAACTTGCTCAGGGAAATATGTTTTTCTTAATCCTAATGGTATCCCTTTAAGGTGGGAAAATAATTATCATTAAGAATTATTATTGGTATTATTATTTTATTGGTAGACATAATGTGTTTGCTATTTCTTCCTGGTAAGTTAGTAAAAAATAGCCAGGTGATATATCCAAGCCTGAGCTTTCAGTTAAAGACCAGTTTTAAAGTAGATTTCTAAACCTAACACTCAGAAAAATGCTTGGAAATTTGGATGCTAAAAGCTTGAATTGGAAGTTATCACTTCTTAAAAAGAAATATGTCTACCTTTAGATAAGATCTATGATTTTTAAGCCCTAAAAAGCATGAGAATAGGTTAGGGAATGTTACAATTGTTAAAAACAAAACAAAATTACACACACACACAAAACCAAATTATGAATAGAATGAGAAAGAAGATAGCTATAATAAAACTACTCATAATAGCTAATAGCCAGAATCTACAGAAATACTTAAAAGGAGGAAGATAGAAATGCTTCAGTGGCTGCAAACTGTAAATAGCATATGATACAAGAAYATAGGGGATTTTTATGTCTAGAAAAAAAATTCTTAATGTATGTTTAAAACAAAAATAATTCTAATAAGCTCTTATTCATGATAATAGTACAGTAGTTTTATATCAATATACTTAAAACTTGAATACAAATACTACAGAAAAGTTGACCGAGAAACTCCTTGAACTATTAAAGTGGACTTTTCAGTAAGTTTTGAATCACTAAGAATATGTTGTAAAGCACTGAAAAAAGCTAATATTGTGCCAATATTTCAAACAAACATAAAAGCAAGAGACCCASCTAATTACAGGCATGTCAGCTTGACATTGATTGCGAGGGAAAAATAAATAAAAATGGAATGTCCAACCTGAAACACAATTAATAAATCATTAAAGGTAGATGATATAATTAATGCCAATCAACATGGCTTTATAGAAAATAGGTCCTGTGAAATTTCCTTGCTATCGTCTTTTGACGAGATTACAAGTTTAGGTGATAAAGATTATAGTTTGATATAATTGGCTTCTCCAAGGTATTTGATTTAGTAGCACAATTTTCTGATTAACAAACTGTATTGGTACAACATTAATAGGGCACACTTTAATTACAGTGAAAAGGATTCACAGGATCAAGTAAAATTGCGGCTTTTACTCAAGTCCAAAAAGATAGGTCTTGAAGAAGAAATTCAATCTGGATGGATAAATGGAGGAAAAAAAATAAGACAAATGATCTGAAAGGAATAATCTATATAAGGTGTGARACATCTGTTTTGGCTTACTGAAAATACTGTCCCACAGCAGAGCTTAAGAAAATGAAGATATGGAAATGGAAGCTGCCTCAGCATCCTCAATGCAAAATTCRAAGTAGCTACCCAAACAATTCACTGAAGCTGAGAAATTTTCATCACCATATGAAATAACTGGCATGCAAAATCACAGCTCCTTTAATGAGTTGTTTAAATAAAACTACCAAATTGCTCTGAAGCAGCAAATAAAATCTCTGAAGCACACACCTGTAGTATCTGGGCTTTAAATATCTATCTCTGGATATGAAAACTTTAGGTGACTTTTACCACTTTGATGTGAATCRCTCTTAGATGTAAATCAACTTGTCAGATCAGCTGTCCTATGTGTGAGAGGCATAGAAATGGTCCCCACTTGTTGTACAAGTCCTGCTAATTAAAGGCTCATCAATTTGATCTGAGTGGTCTGATGAATCACAAATCATCAATAGCAGAAAACTAAGAAAAAAAGTAAGTAGGACCAGAAGTTGCCAGAAGTATCTGGTGATGCTTAGAAATGCTATCCAGATTTTGAAGGGTTTGCTCATCTGTCCTGATTTGCACTTATCTGCAAGTCTAGGCACAGCTTCTGAGCAGAAGTCTGACTGCTCTGGAAATCTCAGGCATATCTTAAGCACAGGCAAAGTTAGATAATTTGGCGCATAGGTGGGAAGCACACAACTTCCTAGAAGATGGATTTCAGCAAAGACATTTCTCAGTCTTCAGTGCCCTCAATATTAGTTCAATATTTGACCTCATGTCAAATGGCCTGAAACCAGCTTAAGCTGATGTTCTTCCAAGGAGTGCTGGTACCGTAACATATGCCCAGTGCAGTGCTGGCAGACAGAAGAATATGCTATTCCTATGGATGATAAACAACTTGCACTGCTGATCAAGTTACCATCGATTACAAGTTTTCCTGAAGACATGTGAGGGCCAGGTACCTTGATGCAGTTCTGTTAGTGCAGTGGTTTAAGCTGATTCATAATCCTTCATCAAGTCAAGCCACTAGAGAGGATAAAATTCCATCATCTTAGTAACAACATCTTCACAAAAACAAAACAAAACAACAGAGAAAGAAGTATATTTTTTTCTACATGTATTGCCCCTTATTCTAGACTGCAACCTGGATCTAGTTTGCTTTTGGATTTAAAAAGCATTTTCCATTGTTTTCACATTTAAGTTTGCTTCCAGATGTTCTTCCCAATAGCTTTTGTTGTGTTTTTTTTTCTTCTTTTTCCATATCAAATCTCATTCCATTCTTTCCTAGAACAGTGGGTGTTTCCTCCCTTTTAGCCTTTCCTTTCTTCACAAGACATAGTGCAACAGCTGTTATATATAACAGCAAGGAAATCGCTGAGATAAAAGACCCCCACTTTCCATTGGCGAGTAGACTTTGCTAAGTATGTTGCAGTGACCATGTCTAACATCAGCTTCGTGTTTCTTTAATCCAACCCTTCTTGGGTTCTTCCTGCCCACCTATTTTCAAAACTGCAGCGTGTTGTTACCACAGAGCCTGAAGAATTTTTCATCGTGGTCAGTACATAGCTGGATGGTCACCGATGGTCACTGGTTTCTCCTTTCCCAGTTGTTCCATCAAGTATCTATGCTACACTGTGCAAAGATGGAAGTAGCTGTAAACAGAGGAGGCATCATGTGAGTGGGAAATGGGTAGACTGGTAAATATTGCTGCCAAACAGATGGAATAAATAAGACAGACAGAACACTGAGGCGTTGGACAGTACCTGGAAATGAATGTCCAAGGAATAAGAAGTGAGATGTGGGATAGGATTCCTRTGTCTAACTATGCATGCCTAATGTCACCCAAGTGCCCTGGCACATGCAGATCTATCATGTGGGTTGGCAGATACAAGATGGGGATCAGCAGTTCCTTTTTAAGGAGAATCTGTAGGCTAAGTAGGACACCTGAGCGTGTCCTACAATGGTACAAAATGCCTCAAAATGATACAAGTGACAAAATGATACTATGTTTGGGCAACTGAAGCCTGTTCCAGGAAAAATCACATACCTACACAGACRTTCCTTCATGCAAGTTTCCTGGGTGTCCAAGCTAACAAATAGCAGTCAGTGGAGCCAAGAAAGCAATGGGCTCTAAAGCAGGTATCAGCACTAGCCACTGACTATACTGACTCCACTGAATGTACTGACATGCTGAGGACTGAAACATCTATCGCACACACTGGTTTCCAGATGTAACACCTAATTTGAATATCTTAAACATGTGAGATGAAGCCATTCTCTAGATTATATGATCAATTAAAAGAAATCAAGTGGCTGGGAAAGTACAAAGACTAAATAGATGGAGGCCAAGAGATTAATTGAAGGGGATGCAGATGGTACAATAAACTTTTCAAACTCACTTATTCCATTACAAGGGATGAAAAACTACTCAGCWCATCCATAGGACTCCATTTTCATACACACAAGTTGTGTAGTTGAGCAGGAATGTTATGTGGCTGCAAATAAGATGGGACTCTGAGCCCAGAGAGAAAGATGGGAATCTCACCATAAAAGCATTGGTGAAACTGAAGAGTGTAGTCCAGTGGTAAAATTCATGTGTGCACTATCTGTCATTATGAGGCTGAGCAGTAATCATCATTAATACATGGTCAGCTCATGAACCACACTGATCTATCTTTTAGGAACTCAGTATGGGGATTCTTACTAGTTCTGAAAGGAAAATAATATATTAGACTGTAGACTATCCAGAATCAGAGGTATCCTAATAATCTTTAGCTATTTCTAATGTCACTGGAGCCCTATGTGTTTATGGTTATGTTTTAACCATCTGTTCTTTTTTTTATTTCCTTGTGTCAGCGAAAGAGGCAGATGCTCCTATAATATCTTAAGATATCTTAAGATGCTCTTGTATATCTTAAGATTTGTTTCAAGACCTAATCACGGCAGTCTGATAGTTGCTTAAGCAAACCAGGGAACAAAAGTTCTGGGCTCTCCCAGGGAGTCTTTGCTTGGCCCAGGCCGCTCAATTAAAAGCAATGATGTGTGGCCAAGGCTTGCTGCACTGAAAATGGCCCAGAGTAGTTACACAACAGGCAGGATCTGGGGATTTGGATCATGTGATCTCAACCTCAGATCCTGCTCAGTCAACGCTGAATCCTGATGTCCACATCTATTAAATTTGTTTACTAAACTGTCTCATTATCTGTTTTGTGTCAGGATTTCTTTAGGGTGTGGTAAAATTGGACAGATGGGCTTCAAAACCTTCCTTCAGGCATGGAACAGTCAGGGTTGGACAGATGGTCTTCAAGAAGTTACCTTGAGGCCTCAAACACATGGGAAAAGAAAGAGGAAGGGAAAGAAGCGTTCACTCCCAGTTTTACAAATAAGCATAGAAGCCAGGATAAGATGTGAGAAACTTGGAGGATATTTCTCCAGAAGAATATTTCTCAAGAAGAAGCCATACTAAAATTCAACAGCTGCAAATACCTGCTTGGCTTTTAATATCATTACTGCTCACTGATATGCTGGAGGGGAGTTCGTGCAGCAAACAAGTGCCTCAATGTTTCTTAAGTGTTTTAGCAATGAAAACATGCTTTTTCATAAAACCAATAAGAAACCACATTTAAACTACAGAAGACTGTAAGTAAGAAATGACTGTGTAAGTAAGAAATGACTTCTTTTAAGCATATATATATTGACCTGCTAGATTAGGCTTTCAAACCTTTTCTTTTCTCCACACAGAGCAGTGAAATAACTCTTTTTGCTAGTGCTGTATTAACTAAACAGTCCCTTGAGATTAACAACAAGCAAATATTGGAGCAGGCTTCCTCAGGAAGTGATTACACAAACAAATTCTCGTTTTAAAGTTCATAAAACCAATTTTGAGAAAGGTCAGGCAGTGATCAACAGAGTGATCCCAGCATCCTAAGGATTCCTGTAAGTGAATGCAATGCCCGGCTGCAGGAACCTTGGTATTTAATGGGAATTATGCAAGTAATTACTTTTGGTAGGGGTTGGGAAAGATCCTGTTTTTGCAAATAATGTGAAATGGCCACAGTGACTTTGGAGAGCCCTAAAGGTAGGAYCATTACAAGGTAGCACCTCTGTGAAGTCCTGGTACTCGCATGTGCAGAGGGATGAGAAGAACAAACACTCTGAATCCAGCTGTGCCAGCTTTAGGCCACARGAGGATTTCTAGGCACTCTGGGGATTCTTGGTCATTTTATCTGTGTTGGTTTTAAATACCTCTATGACGCTTAGCAGGTGCCTCACTAATGCTCAGAGATACCAGGCACTGCCTGAGAACACAATAAGGGAGAGTCTGCCCTGAGGAGTTACAGCCTAATAAAACAGCCCCACGTGAAGCAGAGAGGGCTTTTATATGCCMAATAAAATCTGATCCACAATGAAAGCAAGGGGAGTTTTGCCATTGACTTCAGTAAGGTGAGGACTGCGTTATAATGTGTTGCTATTAAATGAACTGGTAATTAGCCCCAATGAATAATCACTGCGCTTAATACGGACATTCTCAGTGTCSGCACTGTAGACAGTCACACAGCTTTGGAGAGTTAGGATGGTCAACGAGTTTGTACTAACAAAACACATTTTTCTTCCCTCTTTTTCTTGTTTATCGAGAGCAGAAACCAGCCCCAGACATCCTGATGAGCTGCTCACTTACCTACTTTCAATGTGCCCCCCACCACCACGATACATGCGGCGCTCAGGACATTGCTGGAGTTGCTGGGGAATTCAAGGGTCCCCAGGATGTAGAGACCCCTCAGAGGCGGAAGGGCCGTATCCACCAGGATGGTCCGGTCTGAGAAACAGAACAGAGGGTTATTCAGGACAGCATTGGCCTATAACCTGCCAAAAGTGGTACAGAGGTGGAAAAAGTCAGAATATTGCCACTGCCTGAATTATATTGCCACTGCCTGAATTGAGCTTTACTTAAATCTGTTTTTTTTTTCTTTTTTTTTTCCTTTTTTTTTTAACTTAAAAAGAAGGCAGCTAGGGATTGTGTGCTTGCATAGCACCCAGAAGAGCTTCATCTGCTGCTGAGGCTCCATGATGTGACTGCAATCTGATAATAAATAAGAACATAATATTTAGAATGATATTGTTGTGTGATTTAAGTTTCATCAAATGCCACTTGAAGCTGTTAGAATGCCTGTGAAATGTAGCAAGCTGGAGACATGCTGGCTTCTCTGGATGAATCTGGCTCTGATTTGGAAAATAAATCTTGATCACTTAATGCAATGAAGCAAGAATAAATTTATCTATGTCGAAAGAGCATTTTTCCTCATGGTTCGGAAGAGAACAAGAGTGAATGAAAAAAAAATACAACTGTGTCAAATAGTTATAGTGACACTGGCGGCAAGCTGAAGGTGCATATCACAACCYACCCTCAATAATTCCTTGTCACTGCTCTTCTCTCTCTGCAGTTTGGCTTTGCTCTTGGGTTTGCAAAAGAAAAGCTTTGCTGAAGTCAACACAATCTGCAGGAGGCTGAATTTCCTTTTTTCTTTATTCACAGTCCTATTCATTTCCTACCAAAAACTTAGTTAACAGYAGCCAGAGGAAGTACCATTCCATCAGTTTCATAAGGACAAAGTATGGAGCAWAAGTCACTTCTGACCCCATTTCTCTTTGATCCCTGCTTTGACCAGATGACACTAGAAGTATGTTGCAGTGYTGGATATTATCAGAAATCAATTTGTGACCTCTTATGCTGGCTCCTCTTTAAAATACAATTAATGCAACATTATGGAACCTGACTGGTTAAGAGCACAGGGCTCAGATACAATTTTATTGCCGGACACACACCAACCTCTGTTGTTCCTCCTTTCAGTCAAGCATCATATCAGGCTGAGACTGCCTCTTAATGTGTAATTTTATGTTGCGAAAAAGAGATGATGATGGCTGGGCACAACAGCAATGCCACTGGTGCCTCCTAAAGATGCCAGCTTATGGCCTGTGAACCATTTAAATGTCACTTTTGCTTTCAAAACAGGACATGAGTAATGACTGAAATGGCACATCATTTAAGGTAGCCCACAGAAGTGAATTCCATCCTCAAGGGCCATCTAATGCTTTTTAAAATTATTGGGAGCTCTTCAGTTGATTTCAGGAGAGACCAGCTCAGGCCCTTTAATTGTGGTTTCCAGCTCATTTCATTGTCAGCAGGAGTAACAGCTTCCCAGTACAGCATCTATCTGAGTCACTGCATGGCCCTGGAAGAATCAGAAGCAAAAACTCCTAGCAGAGAGTTCAACAAGATACTGCTACTTAGAGAAACAGGCGCAGAACCTGTGCTTAGGATCTAATTGTGACTTCCACAGAAATAGTTGGCAGAAAATTAGATTCTTCAACATAATGACAGTTGTCAACTCCTACCCAGAGATTTGCTATGGATTCCCTTGATCTCTCATTCTTTACTGCAAGGCACAGATTCACAAAACAGGGCAGATTAAGGAACAAGCAGATTTTACAATGGATTTTGTCAAAGCAGTGAGAATGGGGCACTTGAAACAGTTTTGGTCTGGAATATGAGAGAGATATGCAATATCTTAAATGAATTGGCAAACAAAAAGTTTTGTCCCTATAGCCATAAGCAGCTGCTTTGGAGGAAGAGACAAATAGCCATACAATAGGTAGTGCAAGGAAAGTCTTTTCCCCAAAACAAATAGTTAGAACTCAACTCAAACCATGCAGCATAAAGGCTTATCAACTCTACCAACCCCTGGCTTGTAGAAAGAGAAAGATTTGGGGTTGTTACCATTTAGGGTTTACTCAGCCCTGAGAACCTTGCAGCAGTGCATTTATCAATCTAACTGTGAGTCATGAGAAAGCAAGGCTAAAAGTTAGAATGTTTTTCCCTGATCAGTCTGATGTCTTCCACAGTAGGAGACAAAATGTTCTGTATCATTCAAAGGCGGAGGTACAAGCCTTTTCATTATATCTGAAGAACATCCAGAATTCTGCCATATTAAGGTCAAATTCACACTCTGTCCTTCTTTAAGCGAAACTCCTGCTGACTTCAAAGACAAATCAGCTTTGGAGGTCTGATGTTGTCCCCATCAGGTGAGGYAAGGGCAGCTATCGAAGTAAACAACAGTCATGATCCAGGACAAGAAATAAAGACATCTTTATTTCTTTAACTAAAGCTAAAGATAACAAATTCAGTCATCCAGGTTGATGTTCTAAAGGGTCATAATCCCTGGGCAACATGATTCCTGGGATGAGTACATGCAATCGGGGCCTAATTTTTGCACTTCTCCCATTACAGCAGACATAGGGTTGAAGGTRTAACCTGAGGTCCTCAGAGATCTTTTCTGGCACAAACACTGTCCTAAATCATGCATACCTGAGTCCTCAGGGAATCAGGGAATCACCACGCAAAGGTGATGGTCCTTGCTGATCCTGTTGTGATGTGCCATAGTGTAGCAAAGACAGCACAAAATGCACTCAGGAATTCACTGACTTGAAGGTGAGYAGATGAACTCAATATTGGCATTTACTAGCTATTGATTTCTTGTTTCTAAAGCCCTAAATTTTCACAGCTGTTCACAGCAAAGCCCTGGATGCTCAGGGGTCCTGGGTCTGCTTACTTGTTTGTTTCTTCTTCACATGTGGTCCTACTCTGAATTTGCCATTTACTCCTTCTTTCCACATATTTCCCCACATCTTGCTTTCTCCATTTTTGTTTTCTTCTTATTTTCTGGATAACAGCAAAGGACACACTAGGAGCTCAGGATATGCTGTGCCTCTGTTCTCAAGGACTATACCAAGCATCACCAGAACCCATGGTTTTCAGAAGGCCCTCRTTGAAAAGAAACTCCTTGAATCTTTGGGCTGAAGCATCCTTCAGGCATGCAAGTTTTTCACAGCTTTCAGATATAATAAGTCTCTACAGAGCATATGCAATCTGCATTTTTTCCCTAAATCTCATAATATGAGAAYATTTTCACAGGCATGAAGAAACTCCTGTGTATAATCTCTTTATAGGACAGGCATAGTCCTATGCCCTGCAGAACTGAGAAGGAAAAGCACAGTATGTGAGGATAGGAAACAGAGAGAAGAGAATAAGGGGGAAGACGTTGAAATGATATCTCTCAGGCAGAAGGGGAATCTAGTTTGTGAAATCACAGCTCAAGAATGTGGCAAAAAGCTTCCGTTGACAAAGGCCATAAGTATATTCATCAAACACAGACTGAAACATTTTTACAAGGAAAAAAAAAAAGAGAAAATGCTCCTAGGCATACCATTTATATGTCAAGTTTCAGTCTAGAACAGATATTTTTGCTGAGTTGCACATCTTCCTAAAAAAGACTTTAAAAAGGAAATGCTGACTGCTTTGTAGCTGTAGCGTCATGGGTGTGAGCTGTGAAACAGGAGAAGGGAGAAATTCTCCCATGCAGAGATATTTGTGCAAACCTGGGATTTCATCAGTGTAAACAAACACCACTTTGGCATGTGATGCTTTGGTGTGTGAAATTCTAGTAAAGGGCAATATTGCTCAGCATAAATAATAGAAGGCTCATTGGCAGTCAAAAAAGAAAAGAAAGAAAAAAAAAAAAAGGAGAATGGGAGAACAAAGGTCCTTCCACACTTGAGAAGCAAAACAAACAGATTTTTCTGGATTAATAAGGTCCTTATAGAATACTCTGACTTATGTAATAGAGGAAGGTGGCCAGCAAGGGGTTAAAATGATAAGCTTTAGGTCACAAGGCTTAAGTGATTCACCTTCAGAGAGAGACAAAACTGAGATTTTTTTCTTCCATAAATACATTCACATAATAAGAAGCAAGATTTTCAGAAATAATATTTCAAGTCTGAAAACAGGGCTACATTTCATTATACATATACTATCTCCAGACAAAACCTCACAGGTATGCCACAGTCTTAATGTTCAGATGTGCAACACTGAAAACTCACTAATGACTCCAGCAATGACACAAAATGCCTTTGATCAACCACATTGCTATATAAAACACCATAGCATGCCATTGAATGGAAATCAGGCACAACAGAAGAGCTATTATATGAGATACAGTACTCCAGCATTCATCTCTTCAAACAGAAAAAGTTCAAAGAAAATCAAAATCAGAAAATGAATAACAGAGTGAATTTCACCACTAAAAAAAAAAAAAAAAGGAAAGACAGAAAAGAAATTGCCAGAGGCTACATGATATCATATCAATACCCTTCAAAACAACATTCCAGCGCCTGGAATTATAACACATTCTCCTTCCACACAGAGCGTGCTATGTCAGGAGTGTGTCATACTGAAAACCATAAACCAAAGCCCTGAAAATCCAAGGGGCTTGAGAAGCTAATGCCACTGCTGGCTGCCAGAGTGGCATGACTAAACTCATCCAGCTTGTTTCTCGAGGTGGTGCAATTGCTGAGAACTTGTGCAGAGGACAGGGCCTTGTGTGACGACTGCAGTTCTGGATGATGAACCTCCAGAGGTAAAAGCACAAGTTCTTCCAGCTTGAGCTAAAGCTTTCCAGCTGGGGCTGGGACAGAGGTATTTCCAATAGGGAACCAGACACTGAGGGGACTTGTAACGCACAAACCATAAAAGTTACCTTAGTTTTCTTAACAGGAGAGACCAACCTCTATTGCATACACACTCTAGTGAAGGAGTTAAGAGTTATGGATGATATCAGAAAGAGAGTCAAAGAGTATGGCTAAAAGATTCACATGCTCCACTGAAACTAGCAAGAAAGGTGCCTTTTTCTTCTTAGCTCTTAAATATTTTGCTGTCGTTTAACAGCTCTTTTCTAGAGCAGAGGCATTTTTATTCCAAACTTTGGCGCATCCTACACAACATAATTGATCACTAGGATTCAGGATCAGGAAACTGCAGCATCTAAGACAGCGCTGGCATTGACTTGCTGTCACGGAACGAGTGGTGGCAGGGGTGAGTGACAAATGCACTTCACTCGTATGAAAGAAATAATAACAGGAGTTATTAATATGGACAATGATTTCACGAGATTCTATGGCAAGGTCACTTATTATYCACTGTATGGAGGCTCAAGATAATACACAATTATCTTGGGATACCCTCTCGTTGGGTCACGAGGTTCAGACTGGACCCCCTTGCTTTCCAGGCTCCTTCTGAGAGGAGTCTGGGTGCGGCTGGATCCAATCCTGGTCCCAGACCTGRTCAACGGTTTATGACTAAGGGTTCTTGTGCACAGTTACAAAGTAAAGTTAAAGAGAGCRCGCTATGTTCACTTACCACAAATCTGTCGTGGAAAGGGGGGTCTCTCAGCCTCAAGGAGTAAACTTGAGAGGCGTCCCTGCTCAAGGGGAGATCCTGCTGTGCAGGCCGCAGCCGTGTCAGGAGAGCTCAAGGGGCTCTCGGGCTGTCCGCATATTTATAGGATAAGATGATTGACTTATAGTCATTCTTTCATTTCAGAGGCCCATTGGCTAGTGTATTAGCCTTACTGCCCCTTTGGGAKGCAGCCTTCAGGAAGGTTATGTTGAGTCTAAGTGGCAGAAGAAATCAGGATGGTGGCGCCTACCAGGATTAGATAAATCACTGGTGGTTAGCAACTGAACAGGGCTGCATGTAAGGTACAGGCCAGGCTGAGCTGGGAAAGGAGCATATCCGTCACACTTGTATTCTGGTATTGAGTAATCTTTATTATCCTCTCCTTACAAGCACAAAACATTCCCATCCAGGGAACAACACAGATCATGTGAAATCATTCAATTCCTTCCCTGTTGCCTCCCAACGAACAGGCACCATTAGGCCAAAAAGAATCCCCTGTCCCATACACGGCAGCATAAGGCAAAGACTCCTCAGTTCATCTGACCAAACCAGAACTGCTCTAAATTCTGGTGATGTTCATTCTGACCCAAAGGCTGTGCAGTTATGCTAGCACAGTGCCAGGCCTRAGCTAATGAGCTCTCCATCTCAGGAGGGCTAATTAGTGTATCAGCACACTGGTACAGCTATGCTGTTCGCAGTTCTAGAACAAGATTGGTCGGGCTGGGATGCAGGCATCTCTCTGCAGCGCTTCAGGCACGACTGATGTGTGAAGGGCCTTGCCTTATCTGACAAAAGCCAAGGTTGACATCTCTCATGGCAGCTAAAATGAGATGCTCTGCCGAGGATAACACTTAGCTCTGCAAGAAACACAGTGGAGTTGGATTCACAGGTGAGTTAGCAATAGAGTAAAGGACGATCAGAACCTTAATATTCTGTTTCTGTTCTCTATGACTGCCTGAGCACATCCTATGTAATCAATAGGTGGTAAGGACAGAGGCCTAAGCTACCAGTGACACCGTTGTGCTTCTTCATTTCTGCCTTCAACTCTTACAGCCTTGGAAAACTGAAATGCTTTGGTCTTTTAAGACTCATTTGCTATAAATAGAGACAATTGGTAAACTGGATATAATGTCATGCACAATACATTATCTAGCACTGCCTTCTGGCCATGTTCTCTAGGATCTATGAAAAATGAAGTACACATAACCCAACCAGAAGGATGARAGAGACAGCAAACCACATGGGAAACAGCTCATTGCTTATTGTCTGCACAAAGGGCCCAATGTAACAAAGCTGGGAGAAGAGCAAGAGCCAGTAGCAGAGATATGGACCTTCACAGCATGATTTAGAGGATATACATTGACTCCAAGTTAGGCTGTTCTCTCAGCCTAACTCAGGTGCTCAGGTGCTCCTGAGCATGGTCAGGAGGAATGAGATATGAGATTCAGGTCTCACCTGAAATGAGCTCTCTATGAGAAGTAGTTGTTTAAGCTTCAAACATAATTGACTCATTTAGGAATTTAATGTTATCTGAAATTCATTTGGCTATTTCAGACCTCTGAACAGCACAAGCAAACATTGCATAGGAGAGACCTGTGCCCACCTAGGGTGACACCTGGAGGACAGGCAGGAWGGTCCTAGGGTGTCTCAAAGGACAACAGATACCTTCATATTAAAAACTGACTTGACCTCTGGAGCTCTATTTAATACTATCAATAAATCCTAAAAAAAGCAATTCAATTCACACTAAARCAGATAGCCACATTTTATCACCTCAGTAATTCTTCAGGCTTCACTAACTGTGTTGACCAGTAACAGTTTCAGATGTCTAAACATAGACTGAAACTGTCTTTTTCAATGGGCAATCACTTGGAGCTGACAGATAGGATACAGGGTCTGTAGGTGAGCAGCAAAGCAAAGCTGTGGAAGGATATCTCTGGCTTTTCTGGGCTCTGATTGTAGGAATATTTAATGGCATGTATTCATTAGTGGTAGTTTGATAATGGAATTAAAATAAATAGATTGTGCTTGTTTGAACTAATAAGAATAGTGTAAATAACCTATTTTTTTTTTTAATTCAGTGTAAATTCTCCTCAAAGACAAGGACAAACATTACTTTAGGATGATACAGGATGAACCTCTTTGTCAGAAGAGTGAGGATTTCTTTATTTCACCTGAAATTACATATTAGATCCTAAGAACTTACTGAATAAGTTACGACGTTAACGAATTAATGAGGAGACAAATCCCAGACTGAGTCCACTTTACTGACTTAGTCTCTCCTCCTCTTTCTTTTGCCAGTCTTATGAGCTTTACTGTATAGGTGACATATTATTTTTGATGATACAGAGGAGCACAGAGGACTTCTGACTACAGACTCAACTCCCAAATGCCAGCACATAGCAAAGGAAATTTCCTTCCACACAAAGACTTCCTAAAAACAGGTGTGAGAGGCAAGAAGCATTCCCTATTTCCAGAAGTGTAATTGAGGCAGACAGATGGGTTTGCATGRTTTCACACAGAAGTTTTGAGGATGAGCCAATAAAAGGTATCAGGTATGTCAGATACGTAGCACACTATTCACGGGGTTATTGTACAATTGAAGTTGGAAGGGACTTGAGGACTTCATATCATCTAGTCCAACATTAGGGTTCATTTAGTCCAAACTCCTCTTCCGAGTAGGGTCAGCTATGAGGTGCAATGGTTATCACAAATCTTCTCCTCCAGATTTTACTGCAGGTTGCCTAATAAGCAAAGAGCTTTCATACAATAAGGTTGTAAACTAAGCATGATTTAAATGTATCTCAGGTCTGTGGTTGAAATACCAGCATAGGCTAAAACATCTAGGAAGCATGCACTGTACGTGGCTTGAAAGACAATCATCGATAATCTAGGATATGGAATGGAAAAACAAAATGGAAATTGGTACAATTGTGGAAACATGAAGTACGCACAAAACCCAGAGAGGTCAGTCAAGAAATGATCTCTGTGTGAGCTGTGATTCTGAGTCTAGTAGATTCTGTGCTCTGGAAACAAAACGCTCAAAATCAAGCTGGAATATCAGTGTGGGTAAGCAAATTTGTGTGTGTGTGTGTGTGTGTGTATATAAATGGAAAACAGTGAGCATTCTTTTCGAAAACTCATACTTCTGTGCTACAGTTTAGAGCAAACATGACTAGGAATAAATGTGCTGGCCTGCACGTACCAGAATGGACACCAATGCCAATAAGCAACATTGCAACACAACCATATACCCTAAAGAAGACAGGTCCCAGCACCACTAGAGAAATTGAAGACTATTCGTTCTCTACTTACTAGGTAAGATGATGACATCTTCCCCTGCACCAGGGATGCTGCTGTTGGATCCACCCCAGCCTCTTCCCACATCATTCCATGTCTCTGGATGTGACCATTTCAGGGCAGTATCAGAAGGAACTAAAAAAGAGTATATGCAAGGAGACAATTACCATTTTTACTAGCTGAAAGAATTATCTTTGATAACCAAGCATCTGTGGCACTAACATCCTGATGCATAATGAAGCAACACTAACTGCTTTTTGGGATATCTACGCTTTAAGAAAGCTGCCTTACTGAAAAACAGTCAGCTCTCCCAGGACTATCTTATCAGCAATAAAGAAGAGTGAGATAACTGGAGGGAAAAAAAAGGGGGAAAAGAAAAAAAAAACAGTATCAATAATGGTTGGACTTACCAAGAGCAAAGAAAAAATCAAGGTATGTCATCACACTTACACAATGTTCTACTTTGTGAATATGCTTCACAATCATCTGCTTCATTTATTTTTATTTATGCCACCCAAAACTCTGAGCACTTTGAGCATAAAGTCAAAATGCACAAATGAAAATTAAATTTAGTCATCCATTCTTGCTGGCAAGATCAGGCAATCACAGTAATAATGAACCTACCCCCTCCAAAAAAAAAAAAAAAAAAAAAAAAAAAGGGCCAGCTCTTCTCACACACTTTTTCTCCTCTGAGAAAAAGATTAAATTCTCAGGGTGAGATAAAATATGAAAGACTTTGAAAACGGAGTAATTGGTTCCTACAAGGTTGAAAGCCCATGAAAAAGCAGAAGTCTTCCCATTTCATAAGGTAATGAAGACCTGACTTGGGACACGTGGCAACTCTTGCTGATTCCACAAAGATTTATTTTTCAGCTGAATCTAAAATGAAACTTCCCAGCCTTATCATCCTAAAATACCGGGAGAAATCAAGTTCACAAAATTTAAGTCCTTAACTTGCACTTCAATTTCAGACAGCTAATGAGCCGGTCTTCATAAATTAATTGCCTAAATTGGCTTAGCCTGAAGCCAACATAGGAAAATCCTGTACATGAAATTTAGTAATGCCTAAACCAACGCAGTCAGGGCCTCCCTCTGGAGGCCTCTGCAAGCACCTACCTCTATCCTATAAAAGACTATAAGGGAAATTCTGGTATTTTCACTTGAGGAGGGCTTTTGAAATTTTGAAAACAGAGGGAAAGGCTAATATGTGTGAGATGGACAAGGACTTAATCACACTGTGCAGCAGAAAAATATTACAAGCTTTCTGCCACTAGTATAAGGAAACACAGAGAAATTAAAGCCAGGCAGAGCTCTTCAAGGCAAGGTCTGCCTTTCCATTACTTGTCTATTCGAGAGGAAATGCTCTGTAAAAGGATCTCTAAGGCCGACTGCCATGTCAATAATTACTGTTGTTAATATGCAGCAAGGCAGCTATGCACCTGAAACCAAATTTTGGGTATCTCCCCTGTCTCTGGTCTATTATGCTGTCTGATTCGATGCTTAACTGGGCAATAATGTGAGGCTATTAAACTAAGATCACTCTGAAGCACTGAAATACATTGTAGTCTTACATTCTCCATGACCTTTGTGATCTGCTATGGTATTTCTTAACAAAAGTTTATGGTCTTTTATAATGTGGATTCACACATTTGTCATGAGCAATGGTAGATAGGGCTCAATGAAATCCTTAAACGAATGCCAAGAAGCCCTGTTGGGTTGATAGACGTGCAAAATATTGAAGTGAAATATAACATATATATTCTGGAAAATAGTGGAAAAATGGAAGTGTGATTCTCAGAACAAACCTTTCAGCCAGAGACTGTCACGCACCTGATGTAGGTAAAGCCACTCTCTCTTTCAGTGTGACCTGAATTACATCAGCTCCTGTGACTGAACACATAGAATTGCATGCAGTTACAAAAAAAGCCTTATAAGTTAACAAAAAATGATAGTCAATCACTACATGTGATTTTCTGACAATATTATACATTACTAACAATGTCCTTTTTGTTGTTAAGAACTACACATATTTTCTAAGTATTTTCTAATCTTTGTATTTTGAGAATGGATTAAAAAAAAAACTTTAATTTACAGATACTGAGGAATCTTTTAATAACTTAGAAAAAGCTAAAAGATATTCAACAAACAGAAATTCTAGGTTGGAACATGCATTTCATTTATTCCACTAAAAATCCACTCCAGTGTCAGTAGCACAAGTGTTGTCACACCAGTAAATGCATAATGTATTAACAGGCTCAAATAATAAATTACAGAATAAATTACAGCTTTCTTTTTTTAGTTTGTTTTTGAGGGTTTTTTCTTTTTCTTTTTTTTTTTCTCGAAACTAGTAACTAAAATAGATGCTTTAATTAGCCAGACTTAGACGGAAGACAGGGACCCTGTGTTCTCTGCTGTGAAAGGAGGTCAGAAGCAATTATCACAGTTGTAACCTTTCCACCAATATATTGTCAGCAGGAGAAGGGCTGGAATAATGCAAATCAAGTCAAGAGCAGCGGCAGAAAACTCTGCATCAGACCCAGCTAAAAGGCTACCTTTTCTTCATCTCCAGCCGTATATAAAGGCACTTCAGTCACTAGAGTGGAACAAACAGAGGTTAAAATAGAAACACTTTAACAAACAAATAAATCTCCTGTCCACTGCCCAATCCATTAGGGCGACTCACAAATGTCATTGGAAGATTTTGGGGGTTGAAGACTTGTATAAATGAAGCTATTGTCAGAACTTCCCTCAACTCCAGGACACACCAGGAACTTTCCTTCACATATATCAATGCACCAATGGGATTTCATGCCATATTGTAATTTACTTATTTTATCTTTAAACAAGTCTCTGTACTTATAAATTGTGAGAATCCTCCTTCCCTAACTCCCTCCTTTTCTCCCAGAGCAACTGAGCAAATTTAAAATAACGGAGGTTCATTAATTTTAAGTGTTCAATAAATTAATATGAATAATCAAAAAACTTGATTCTTTCTGATAATTACTATTTGATGTCAGTTGAAAGCACTCGATTGAGTTAGCAGCATATGCTCCTATACCAAATGAGGCTTCCATAATTAAATAGAAACTGATTCCGTGAGGTTTTTCTCGTGTCTGATTAATTAGTAATCAGGTGCCTCAGCCTTGTTCTTTAGTGACACCTTCTCTCCCAGTGGTAGCTATGTTCTGATTCCTGATTCACTGAAGMCAGCCTGCTCCAAACATTCATACAGAACTGGAACTGAACCACAAAATATTGCTGGGTGTCCACAATACAAACCTTTTAGGGGGGGGAAAAAAAAAAAAGAGGAGACATGAGGCAGCTAATTTAAAGCTTTTTACACGGAGTTTATATGGCTTTAAGACAATATTCTTACATGGGTGCTTATCTCCCCTGACAGTGATCCTTGCAGATAGCATTAATCTCACCTAACATGAAATGGTTGCAAGCTGGTCAGCCTGGACTCCAGTAATGTCACTGGAGGCATCTCCAGAAAACTGTTCTTCTATCATATCACAAACAACAAGGAAGAGATGTGTTATCAGTGAGGTTCCTCTCTCTCCCTTGACTATAAATGKGAGCCAGGGTAGGCATAGATAACTAACTTTTAGATGACTGCATCAGGTGAAGTTAATCACCCTAGCAAAGCTACTCCTCTAGGCTACCTTGGCAATCAAGAGCAAGAAACTGGCACCTTCAGAGCTGCATTCTCTGATCCCAAGAAACAACAACTGACTGCCTTGAAGGGCTAGTTTTGATCTTCTTTTCTATTTATGGTGGCCTTCCTTCTCTTCTTACTCATAACAAGGCAAATCAGGAGTTAAAGGTGTTCAGGGAAAGGAGAAAACCAAGCTGTAACACTATATAAATATATATATAGATAATCACTTTTTTTGTCTTTTTCCTGATTTTGTAGGAACTGTACTGTAATWCTCTAATTAAGAGAATTTGTTTTGTTCAAGCAAAAGCTCTCTTCCTTTCTGCCGTAAAATTTTACTGATACACTATGTAGACCTCATCATGGGGTTCCATCCACACAGTAAAGACAGGAACTGTTACGATGTCACCCAGTACAGCCATGTTCTGAGTCAAGGCAAGGACAAAAGTYTTTCATATTTTAAATGTCATGCAACCACATAGGATGACAACCCAAACCATTAAAAGCCAGCTATACTCTCCGCATGAGTAARAGGAGTGGGGCTGAATCCCTCTCAACCCAAAACTTGCACATTTACGTCAATTGTACACAAATTGTGTACAATTGGCTTTGAATCAATGGTATTTTATCACCATTTTCCACTCCTAATATATGATCAAAGCAGGAGAGACACAAGCCTTGAAAATAATCAAGACAACAACAACATAGTTCTCTTGGTTGTTTCGTATAGCTACTGAGCATGTTATCACTGTTTTTTGTACAAGACAGGAAAAGACAGGCCATACAGATGAAGGAAGTCATTAGTAAACATTAAATTAAGGTGACTCTTTACAAAATGTAGTTATAAGGCTCCAGGGTTTAGCTGTATAAAACCTTTATAAGGTTCATCAATTTCTTTTGCATTATTACAGCTCTTCCTGGATGCTTGGGCTGTGAATCATAAATATAGGCCTGCTTGACTAWATTCCCGGTAACTTTCTTCTGGTTTAAGGCTCCTTGAGTGAACACGAAGGAGGAGCAACCTAGTCTTTTATCAGCTTTGCAGTGACAGGAACTTTTGCCTCTGGATATTAGGAAAGGCTGAAACTAGGATAAATGGCTACAATAGCCCGTCTTACAAATAACAACCTACCCTGTGCTATTTAACATCAATTGGGTTAACATATATCACAAGGAATCAAAACTTTTAGACAACACAATCAACAACACAGCAAGTTACATTTCTGGAAATTGAGATACCTGGACGAGGCTATTTGGCCATCCTCTGACAGGGACTTTTACAGAATGTACCCAGGAATATAGTTTGTGGGGATGTTGCAGTGAGGAGCAGAGGTTTGAACTAATGGAGGCTGGTTCTTGCTTACAGTATATTAACATTGGGAATGAGAGGTGTGAAGAGACAAAATTCCTCCTGCAGACATGATATAGAGCAAAGACCATCTCTGAAAGGATTACTGAGGTATTTCATTATCTTATTTCTATAATTTCTTCATTTTCTGGCCTATCTGCTGACATGCCAGAAGGACAGCTATTCATCTTCCAGATGAAGGTAGATTTTTCTCTTTGTGTCAGTTATTAAGGACATCTATTTCCTAAAAACCAAGGTGAACGCATGCATCTCATCACATAGAAATGGCTGAGCAACCCACGCCTGGTCCAAGAACCTCCCAAAATAGCTGGCATAGTATGAATTTTAAGTAACTAGAAGAAAAGATTCATGCCTGTAGAATCAGTCYCCTCACAGAGATTAACTCTATTCTCCAGATCCCTTTCACCTATGATTCCCTTTATCCCTGATCGATAAGGATGACAGAAAAAATCTTCTGTTTATTTATTTTCTATATTTCAATATTAGAAACAAACTTTCTTAAGGGCTTTCTTTTTTTCTGTTCACAGCAAATACAGAACCCACCAAGTAGGTGGGATGTGAAAATGGAAGTGAGATCATTCGTTTGGAATTTTATAAAGACAATAAGTGTAATCAAATTATTTTTTTCTGAAGAACTATGGAAACTGCAGACCAGCTTCTGACACAGCAGTAATTCAAGGTTAGGCCCCGGGCCTTCTTAACAACTCACATATGAGTAACCTGAGCAAAATCTGCAGAATGACTTGTCTCCTTAAAAGTTATATCCACCAAAAAATGCATTTGGGGTAAATGAAAAGTTTGATAATGYTTTCAGCAATGTTTTCAATAATGTTGTGACATGCACTTCCACTTAAGAAAAAGGTGGAGGAGAACTCAAGATAGAGCAAGACAACACTTTTTCGTACCAAAAGAAAATGGTTCAAACATTTCAAAAGTTAATGGAAAAGAAACAGAATTTCTCTGTTTTTTTTTTTTATCCAGTTCCAGTGTTGCCCAGAGACCTTAACCAGGGAGCAGTACCATGCTGTGGTACCATATGCTCATATTTGTAACAGACTTAAAAAGCTCAGAGTGTTATTATTGTGATTCACACAAGATACTTCTAAAAACATCCCCGTTGTCCCAGTGTGAAATTTCTTTTTGCCTTCTTTTTACAGTAAGATCKTTTGACTCACCGTGGTCATGTCTCATGAAGACCACTCTCTTGATAGATGGTTGAGCCATAACAAAGCGGTACATGCATTTCAGGGCCCATCAAAAACCATTATGGAATGCTTCCCTTAGGACATGGGCTTCCCCCCAGATAAAATCAGGATGGTGCTACTAAGACTTAATAATGTAAGAGAGAGGTCACAGACATGGAAATTAATTGAGTCTGCAGGTTCCCTCAGCACAAGATGCTCCAAGCTTCCTCATCTCCCTTTCACACAGCATTTGCATTAAAAGGATGCTGTCTCTTCTTGATACCAATTTTTCTGCATGGCCTAAAAATGATGTTTTCAAAGGGATCCAGTTAACAGGATTGGTCTGAGTAGCCAGCAGAAAGCACCTTGGTTAACAGGATGATTGAACAACCCTGAGTCTCAGGTTCCCCATCCATTACAGYCCATTACAGTCCATTACAATTACTGCCCCACATCCAGAGCCCCATGCAAGGTCTGACCTACAGAAGCGCAGGCCCACAAAAGATCAGGGCAACGCAATTCCTTCAACTCCCCCCTACAGTTTGTTTGCTTGCCTTTTGCATCAAGCACACATTTCTTCTCTCCCAGAAGAGGCCCATGTGTGTGATTCTGGGCCATTTCCCTGCCTGACCTGAGGATGGGCACACACCAAATGCTTGCGACGGACCCAAATCACGGTCCCAGGCMTCTCCGTTCAGCTGCCTGTTTCATTTCCATAACAATATCCTTCCCAGCATCCRTGCCTTCTCCCCCATGCGGTCCCGAGCAAAAGGCTGTGTGAATTGAGGAGYCTGCTCCTAAATAGGCCAGCATCTGATAACGCATTTACCGGTGTTAATTTTGCATTTAACGCACCCCTGCCACTTCCCAGCAGCGTGTGCCCCACGGCCTCCCCCGGCGGCGCACAAAGGCGGCGGGTCAGAAGTAAGTTGACCCGGGGAAGAACGTGCGATTATGGCGAGCGGCGGCGCGCGGGCAGCTGCGGAAACCCCGCCGGCAGTGGCGAGGCACTGCCCAGAAGTCAGGGCAATACGGACAATGCGCCCGGCGCGCTCCCCTCGGCGCCGCCACGTTTTCCTCGTGGCAAGAGCGACAGCCCCGCGGCGGCAGCTGCAGCCGCCACGGTCCCTCACCGGCCGCCCCCTACAAGCAGCCATTGTGCGCCCGCCGATGGGGGATTACGTGCCCCTCTCCGGCGCCGTGTGGGCCCAGCTGCCCGAGCGCTGAGACACGAGCGAGCACCGGGATGCGCGTCTGCGAGGCRGGACCCCGGCATGCCAGACCCTTTATATAAGTCAACCGGGAACAAATGCTGCTTTATCAGCTCCTCAACCCCCCCCGCGCCATCTCCCTTTGAAGTGGCGGCTGCTCGTGGGCCCTCGCAGCTTTTCCTCCTCAGCCCAAGCAAACATCCTCCTTTTGATATGCTACATGCTCATTATCTCTGCCCCATTTAATGATTTTTGATTGAAGGGTGGCGGGCGCAGTTGCCGAGAGGGTAGTTGAAGTGGCTCCACGCGGGCAGGCCTATAAGAAAGGCTTTCCTTGTGCCGCAGCCTAAATTTGGAATTTCTTAACAGTGTGTTCTTGTTCTTCGCAGCAGATAAGGGGCTGAGCGTGAAATTCTTAATTAAGCAGTAAATAGAGAGTGGGGTGTCAGCAGATGCAGCCTGTAGCCATGGAGACCAAGTCACATGAACGGGAGAGCGGGGACGAAGCGCCAAGCCTGGGGCTCGGCCATGACTGACAGCTGAAGAATCCGACAAAGCTTGTAAACGGGATTAATTAGTTGACTAATTATTTCATAGAGTTAAATGTAACTAAAAAATAAAAACAGCTTGTGGAGTCGGGCTGCCGAGCACTCCGAAGGCGAAGCCCTCAAAGCGACGTCCTCTCCGAGTGGCTTGCGTGGCCTGCTCCTGGGTTTTGGGGGCCAGAAGGGACCGTGGTGACAGCTTCTGCTGGCCTCCTGCAGAGSGTGAACCTCACCCCATAATTTCCCTAACAGAACTAAGTAATATTTATCTAAAAAAAGCACTCAGACTTCACCTAGGGACCCTGAGTGATGGAAAGTCCACCACATGCCATGACAGTTCTCCTTAATGGCTAATTATCCTCACCCCACACAGCAGATTGGGGTAGAGATTAAATCATGTATTGTGGCCAGGAAGCCGTTCACGTTATTTTGGACTTTCACCTTCCCAACAGCAGGCAGTGATATTAACCGTAACCCGTAGATACTAGGTACCCAACACTGAATTATTGATCGTGCTGCTATAAAAGTCCTTGCTGAAAATGTTCACAGCATGAACTATACATGCTAGATGTTTTCATAAATTTCCCCTCATGTACTCTGTGTGATTGTTTCTCTCTGTATTAACATGAGAAACAACCACTAGCTCTTCAAGTAATAAAACCAAAAGGAAAAGAAGGCAAAAGAAGGGCAAGAAGGTATAAAATTTCTGTAAGAGCAACACATGCTGACTGTATTGCTTTGACTCARTCTTTCCAGATCATCATCTCCACTTTTTTTAAACAGCAGCAACAAGTCAAGAAAGAGGGTCATTTTCCAAACTTCTCTATGCTTCCTTATGTATGAAAATGCAATTCAGTAAGTTGAAACTGAGCAATAATTAGCAACCATAACAACTCAGTTATAAAACYGAAATAACATATATATGTTCTTTTTCATTAGATGTCAGCATGATCTTGCTCCAGCTATGTCTGTATTTGTGGACTAAACATGGCCAGGTCTCAGTATTGGCTCTCAACCATCTCTGTGGTTACGTTAGTGGTTTGGTTCTTGGCATTTCTTCGGCTTGGACCAATGCACCCAGATGATAAGCCTTATAGATTGGGACTTCTCACAGGAGAGGAATCATTCCTAATTAGAAGTTGGGTTAAATCCAGCCCATTTTGAGAGATTTAAGCATAAGTAGTGAAAAAATAGCTGGTCCTGGGACCAAATGTGGATGTAGCCAATGTGTGCAGCTAGAACTACATTACTATATTAAGGAATGATGTTCCCTATTTCTCCTCATATGCATACTGAATAATTTTCATTGCTCTAAACCTTAGCCTCATCAATTGCTTGTCTTCACTCCAATCCTCTCTTCCTCCCCACTAGCCTGATCTTGTTCCAGTTGCACCTCCCTAAATAGATCCTACACAAGAAGACTGTGCTCCATGACGTGGTGTACGAAGCCAGCATACTGAAAGACCTATGAAACATTTGGAGGTTTATAATCACAGAATGAATCCTTATTCAGTAATCCTATTGCCTTCAGTAGGTTCAGCCTATATAAGTTTCACATGCATTACTGATCATGCATGTGATTAGGGACTGGCTGACACTGGAGATCATTAATGGAATTTAATGTATTTTCCTCTCCAAAAAACAACAATTCAAATCCAGCCAATGCCACATCATCCACTGTGTATGACACATTGCTCTTGTTGATAGATTAAGCATCAGATAGATCAGCTAGAGATGGACCTGGTGCACATTTTCCTATTTGAGTAGTTTTACTAAAAGACTACTCACTTCCTGAAACACTTTTGAAAGATGTCCTTGTATTAAAAGCTTTATAAAATTTGAGGGCTTTGGTTAAAATGGCTTGAGCTCTGTCACAGCTCTTGAAAAAAAAAGCAGACATTACATCCCTTGTACTTACCTAAATAAGTTAACTTCCTCAATCTGGTATTGAGATACCAGTCACAGCTCTGATGATGACCATAGGAAGGGAGCGATTGGAGAGGCCGTCCAGTCCTTATCCCACAGGATACCATGACCTCAGTATAGGTAGAAAGATTCTTGTGTTCCACCAGAAGGTAATTCCCCGTCATGAAGTTGCTGAATGTCGCTGAATACTGGAGCAGAGGGAAGCAAAATGAACATACATGCGTCTGTGACTAGAGCTCCACACTGCAGTGGAGTGCAGTATAACAGAAAGGATGAGGATGGTGATGCTCCTCACTTTTAACATATTCTTCTGTAAAATGGTGATTGGAAACAAGGAAGAGAATACAGGAAATTAGCAGGAGATGATGGTAAATGCAGACAAAGCGATCTCTTCTAGCTACCTTAAAATGTTCAGTGGAATAATGTCCTCTGAAAAGCATGTTTCGGTATGTCTTAAGAGAGCATAAATTTGGTTCTGATTGCTAAGCACCAAAGTGAACTTTCATTTGCAATGACCAAAGTTGTCTTCTCACTGCAAGTTACTTCTGAGAGTCTTCTTCAGCACCCCCCGCCCCCGAAAGATGAAGGCATCTCTTTCAAGTACAATTTACAAATTAAAAAAATACATATGTTACCTGAAGCTTCTTGCTGACCAAAGGATTTTCAAATGTCAGAGTGTAAGTCTCTTTATCCAAGAGAAGAACCACCCAGCCATATAGGTTTGATAAAGTATCAGGGACGTAATTGACTGTGGTGGTCTTATTCCTACTGTCAGCCACAGTTAAATTATAAGGCATGTCTGGAGCCTCTTTTCTGGAGGAAAAAAAAACATAATCACTTTTTTTTTCACTGAAATCCATCATTTTTAACCTTTACATTTCTATTTTTATTTGAATTACACTAGTATATGCAGGCTGTCTCTCAGAATATGACTTCATTTGTGTAGTTATTCAAAATACAGTAAGAAAAAAATCTCTGTGTGAAAAGACATAAAAAGGGAGACACAGAGGCAAAGGGTGGAGGAGTAAAGGCACAGACAAGAGAAAGTGTGCTTGGCTGGAAGAGGAAAAGTACATGGAGAAAAGGATAAAGCTGGAATGCAGGAACCTTTCTGGTGTTCAGATTTTAAACATTCATTCTCTTTTCAGTGTCTGAGTGATGATAGCCACCTGACTTGATTTTTCTTTCACAACCTGCTTCTTGAAAACAAAGTTTTCACTTCCAGTCCTCAGGATATTGCATTCCCACAACAGTTCTTCAAATTTATGGAAAGCAAACCAATCCAGCAAGTCTTATTCTGTAACTGAATCAGGCCAATCCCATGAAATGTCAAGAGAGAATTCCATTTAACATCTTTGAGGCTGGAAGTGCTAAAATATTATTTCACTAAAATTTCTATTTTGCATTAAGACCTGTGTGGTAATGGAAGGACATAGGAAGAAAAAAGTTGCAGAAGCCTGCATTCATCTCTCTCAACTCTAAGCACTGAACTCAGGTTATACTCTTTCCCTTTAGAGTCAGCAAGGGACATCAGGCTCCTCCAGAGGATGGGTCAGGTATTAGATGGTCTGAGATATCCTCTGGAGCTGCTGTTTTTCCATGATCCAAATGAATTTGAGTTTTGAGACTTCCCTATTAGGAATCTCTCTTCAGTACCAAAAATTAGGAAGAGTAAATCCTGTCCTAGGAACATCCTCCATGCTCCTTTATCACATACACACACACACACACGCACATGCATGGACTGCTTACATTTGTCTGATAATCTGGGACATGTTTTTCATGGAGCTCTTCTTTATAGCACTATGAGAGATATTATTCCTCACTTGCAAAAGGATTGACCAAGAGTCATAGATACCACAGAAGATGCAGAAGGAGATCTGATGGAAGCATCTGAATATTACCATCCCACAAAGGCTCCCATCTCACATCCCTAATCCTTATCAGCAGCAGCTATGCTTATTAAAAAATTGGGGTGGCAACTGCATAAATGCATTCCTCACATCACATACAGGGAATAGCTAGGAATATATGTCTCAGGAACGTGGGTCTCTTTCTCAGACAAGGAAAAGACTAGCTAGCTGGCCTAGGTACCCTAGTACCATGATTCTGCCTTAAAAATCAATGCATCACATTTATACATGAATAAAGTACTGCTAGAGGTTGAAGGCAAGTTGGCCATTTCACCTTTAGTCCACTTAGCTACTTCTGGCATTTGAGTTGACACTGATCTTAAAAAATAATCTCTCTTTTTAACATTTCTGAAATGATATTTCTAAATACCAGAATATTATCCCCCAGCTAGATATCTCATGGTGCTCCAGCATGGTTTTCTTTCAAGAGGCACAACTCTGAAACTCACTGCATCTAGAAAGTTCTCTTTTTGTGTCTGCAATTTTTGGCTGTTTTTCCTCTTACTGCTTAGGAGAGGATATAAAATTCTCCCCAGCCATCCTAGGGGAAGATTGCCTGTACATTTTATTTCCCTTTTTTAAATCAGTTCTTTTTTTTTTTTTTTTTTTTTTTTTTTTTTTTTTTTTTTGCTATTCTAGTGGCTGTCTCTTCAGCGGAGGATGCTCACAGTACCCAGAAACATTCAGCAGAGAAACAGCAATGGGAAACAGGGGAAGTGTGAATCAGCAAAGAATCACTCAACCAGAAGATATTGGCAGACCAATGAAACTGATTGGAAGGAGTTTATAAGGCTTAAACTGCTTTCGTACTACTAATAAACCTCCTCTTACAGGCATTAGCTGGACCAGGGTATTAGGCTGCTAATTAAGCAAGTAAATGACAACAAACAGATTATTGCCACAATTATTGGCATCTGCACAGGTATTTGGGAAAACATTTCTAGCAATAGTAGTGCATCTTATATGAGATTAAATGCTTCTATATATCAGAAATATTTTTGTGAGTTGCAAAGGCATACAATGACATAACAAGTGACACAGACTCATGCCCAGTCTCTGTGCAATACGAATCCTTGCATTTTTACTGCATTCTTAGTCTCTGGAAAACTCTGATGAGATTGCTTGGATCACTTTTCCCAGGGACTTCTCCCAGTACTCCTGAGAAATTATAAAGGCAGAGAAGAAAACCTTCAAAGGGCAATCTCACAGTGTTGGGCAACATGCTGTAGGTGACCCTGCTTATGAAGGAGGGTAAACTAGATGATCTCTAGAGGTTCCTTCCAACTTCAGCCATTCCAYGATTCTTTAAATCCTGCTTGGATTCAAGGGGGGATACAAATAGCCTGGTTAGTTATAGGTAAGTGGCAATTCCACACTAACCATGTTAACCCCCTGGCAGTGAATGAAGTGATCAACTCTGACTCTGGTAGATACTAGTCTTAATGTGGGATTATAAAGGGACCTCAAATTACTATCTTAAACTGGACCGCTAGTTTCTAGATGGCTAAAGCTAGGTGAAATACATCTCTACCAATATGCCTACCCATTACAGGTAAGTTCTCTGTCTAAAGAGGAAGTTAGGCTAGGGTTTTCATTAATTCARACACTGCCAACTTTGATTTCATTTTGTGGAGGAAGGCTTTGCATAGTTTCTTAGTAGGATACTCTGGCTTCCCTGGCCTACATTTGGAAGTCAGTTCATGTCCCGGGAAGGAAAGGGAGGAGAAGAGGAAGTTTGCCTGACTTCTTATGGCCTTAAATCTCCCCAAATGATGTTGGGGTGTCCTCAGCCTGGTATACCGTTTCCCTGACTTTCACATRCCTTGCTTGAGGTATAACCATAACCATACACACTCTGCTCCTCATATAGTGCCAGCACACAGAAGTAAGTATTTTAGGACCCTAAAAAACTTTGTAGATCTGTGCAAAAGTAAAATTCTGCAAGATAACAGTGAACTCAGACTACATTGCCCTTGAAAGGATGTCAGCACGCTTCTTTTTTTTTTTTTCACCCATATGCCAAAAAGACACCAAAATGGAAGTACTCTGCTAATGGAATTACCAGCCACAATTAGCACCATTTCCATTTGCCCTAAATAGCCAGCGATTTCACTGTGCCCTAAATAGCCACCAATCTACCTCTCTTTAATGTTAATGAAGCAGAGTAGCGCTCACACACACCAGTATTTCTAATTCAGAGGATCCAAGGGAGCCTGCACGCATCATTAATGTGGAGAGCTTCATTATCAAAGGAAAGAGCCTTCCCCTGAACTTCCCTTGGCTTTATTTGAAAGAAACTAGGAGGCAATGGTCTTAATGCAAAATTAACCCTCGCTTTAAACTGCTGGAAGCCCTTACAAAGTGTAAGGAAGAAAAATGGATGACTCATTGAAAAGGCTGTATTTTTATATTGAAGCAGGTTTCAATTAAGGAGCAATTTGCTTTAGAAATATGGCAGGATTACTAGATAGGACTTTACAGTCTGAGTAACAATTTACCAATTGTGATCGCATAAACTGTTATGTAATTTAGCTCAAGTGCATTGTGCAGAACTGCTCAACATCGATGGCCCACAGAGGATTTGTTAAACCAATCAACAACATCAAGTAGAACAAATATTAACTCTCCTGTTTATGTTTGCCGTTAGCTTACTTATCCTAAGGGTCCATATCTCTGTGTATGAAGACAGACATTGTGCTTCACTCTAAATGCTTTCTGTTTGATACATTTGTGTAATAATCCATTATGATTATCCCTCTCCTAAAACAGGAAATGATATAACATCTAACTTCAAATGGGACAGCAAGTGTTTATACCAACAGTTCAATTTATTGTTGGACAAATGGAGACTAATTCCAAATTATGACCATAACAAATACTTTACAGGTTTGATGCTAGGCCCAAGAACAGTTCATTTTTTTTTTAATTGCCAAGAACCAGAATTTTCAGCCGTTTATAGTAAATGCATGTGTCTGTGTTGAGAGATGAAGGACAGCATTTATAACTGCCTTGTGTCATGAACATTAACCATCAGTGAATTTTTGCAGGGTGTCTTCTTAAAAATAACTAGATTTTTATCCCTGGGTACTTGGTAGCCATGATGGCATGGGCCTTCCAAATGTGAAGTAAAAGAAGAATTGAGATGATATCCCAAAAGGAGAGATAGTTGTGACTGACAAGCCAAGATGACTTCTTTTAAAAGTTGAGTTTATCACCAATAGCTGCCTGCCTCATCCCTCTTTCTCAATCACTTGCTCATCTCCTGTGATTTACAGGCAGATATTCTAAGGAAAATCAAAATCAGATGCAAACTTTGAACTAGAAACTGCTCAAAGTGACTGGTAAACAACCAGTTCAGACATCTCTGCAGCGTAAGCGCAGCAAAGACCTGCAGATGACAACTTTTCATCCCACCTGTCCCACATCAGGCAGAGCCCTGAGAGGTTCAGCACGAATTTGAAAACTTTAAGAGTCCTCTAAAAACTGACCACTTAGGACTCATAACCCACTAGTTATGGTAATATGTCCCAAGTGGCAGGTCTCAGACCTATCCATCCCATAACAAATATCCAAAAGGCTTGTCAGCCTTTTCCTTACAAACAATRAAAGTGTTGAGTTCTCAGTGCATCCTTAATACTAAATATGCTTCCCAAGCACATCCTAGCCAGTGGTCCATCTGCAGGGCAGCCTTGAGGACACATCTCCTCCTGCATATTCATAATCCTGAATACCATAATGCAAGATCTGCATCTGCTGCCAGTACTGCAGGTGGCAGGAATAAAGGTCCTGCACTGGGAACCAACTTTTTCTTGGCAGCTTTGGCTGGATAAGGCAAATGTTAGAAATACAACACACTGAAAGACCTSAAGTTCCTCTGCTGTGTTGCTTAACTAGCAGCCAACAGTCAACGACTGAGTATTTGCCTTTCCTATCACGTCACAGGCTGTCCTGTGAGGCCAAGTGAGCATACAAGCCACCCGTGCACGAACACAGCCCTGTATGCAGGGAGGATGCAGGACCAGAGAGCAACGGAGCATGYACACGCTGAGTGAAAAAGGGTGTTTGTGAGGGTGTCTCACAGCAGGTGGGTGTTCATCTGAAGGCACCACAGCAAGCAAATATCAAAGGAAAAGCAGAACTAGAGTAACCATTTGAACTCTCTTCAAGACTCAAAGACGCAGAGGCAGGGGGTATGCCATTCTTTTCACACTAACCCATCAAGGGCGGCTGGGTTTGCAGCAACTGAATGCACGCACTACGGGAGAGGATATTAGACCAGATTTAAGAGTTAAGGCTATAAAGAAGAAAGTTAATCTTTTCCTCCACAGCAAGCTAGGAAAAGAGAGGCCATAAAAGGCTTGAACTACAAGACTGGTGCTGAGCAAGAAGTCCCATGTTTCCCCAGTGGGAAGGGGGAAGCGAGGGAAAGGGAACAAGAGGCGATGTTCCTTGCGGTGCCKTGGTCTCCGAGTGTTTGGAATTGCCTTCGCCGCAAGGTGCTGCCTGTCCAACGATTATTCTAACACTCTCTACTTGTAAAAATTATGCATAATGTGAGGAAACTTTTAAAGTCACTTAATCATGTTATGACAATCTTTTTAATGAAAATTTGTTTTAATATTAATAGAGACTCATATTTTCATGATAATATGGGTACCGGTGGCATTTGGAGCAGCAGTATCTAGCCTGCAGCCACGCTGCTCTGTGCCGTGGCATAAGCTGTTCTTCACAGTACTCAATAACTTTCCCACATATAAATTTATAAAGACTTTTATAAGCTTCAATTACATTTTTAAAAGACATAAAAACCCTCTTCAAAGGGTGCTTAGGTGTCACATTAGTTTAACTTTCAACTGGACTTGATGAGGAAGGATTTTTTTTTTATAGCAATGCAAGCTTAGAAATAGATCTTCATTGCTCTGGAACTTGTTGGGTAACAGTTCAGGAAAGTGAGTCAAGAAATACTTCATATATCTGTTTTTCTCTAACAGAGAAACAAAAAAAAAGCAAATATAAATATACGTTTTTTGAAAAAATAAAATAAAATCAACCAATAGACTACATCTATGCTGGTAAATGAAACAGTACCAAGATAAAGACTTAGGCACTATATTTTAATTATCAAATTATTAGAATTTAATGTTTTGATCCTGGATGTACTTTTGACTTGTGCCAGCCAGTCCTTTCCCAGACAATTACCATGTGGGSGAACATTTCAGAAAGGGAGTGCAGATGAAACTTCCTTGTTATTTTGAAGCTTAGAACATTAATACTTTGGTCATGCCAAACCTTGCTGGTTGCCCTCATGGCTGGAGAATCACCAGTGCAATATAGGTAGCCACAGAGTGATAAACCTTTCTCCTTGTCTGCAAGTAAATATTGTTTGCTTGTGTCTTTGTCTACCCTCCTTGTTCTGCTCTCAAAACCCACTAGCTGCATCTATCTTCAAGATTTTTGGAACTAGAGTCAATCCCTAAAACTCAAGCTCTGAAATATCGTGGAAACATAAAAACACCATTTCAAGGTATTTTGCCAAGTGGCACACAGAATGATGTGCTACTACAGACCAAAAGATAGATACAGAACATGGGAAATGATAGTGGTTTATTGCTACTGCCTGAAACTTCCTCTCTGCCCAGTGTGACCTCCTGCCAGAGTGAGAATGGWCTTGTAAGGATCATCAGGATCAGTAGGTGTGGGAACAGTGTCTAAAGCTTGAGGGCTGTTTGCTCATGATTTTAGCAATTCCCTGTTTTCTGGATTACAGGGACATGATGAACCMTCAGGCTTTCTGGAAAGTAGAATTAGGAACAAGCAAGTTGCAGATATGACAAGTCAGGTACTTCAAGGTCTGGTTGGGCAGCTCAAAATGCTTTCTTCCAGATACATTCTTAAATCTGTGCCCTTAACAGTCTGAACAGATCCAATCACACTACTTTCATCTTTCTACTGAGATTAGAGGAGTGCAAGAAACTGCTCTGTTAGCAAATTCTTCCTATCACCCAGAATAACTTTCTTTTTCTTTCTGTTCAATTTCCRACAGTTTTTCCTAACMTTTGTTGTTGTTGKTGTTGTTGTTGTTGCTGTATTAATCCTAARTTATTCCTTTTCTATACTGAACATTCTTCATATAYATGTAGACAATATATCTAGACAAAATTGACCCATTTGTCCTCTTTCTTCACCCGCATGCTCTGGTCATACTGTAGGTATCGTATTATGGACTTGCATCCTTCATTCCTTTTAGCTCCTTCCGTTCCCTGACCAGTTACTCTACCAGCTGCATCTAAGAGAGTTGTCTCTATGACTGAAGCCTCTCTGAGCCACCACGTTGCCTGCTCTGTTGTCTGCTGATAGTATTCCAGCTTAAAAGTCTACTATATTCACAATTTGTCTTCCTCCCAGAACCCTATCTACTGAGTCAGAATGCTTCCTTAACTCTTAATCTATTGCAGACTTCTACTTTAGTTAGGAGAAACAATAATCACATGCTAAGCCTGCAGGTAACTGATAGTTTTACATTTTTCCCCGTTTAATGGAGATGTGACTTTTTTTTTTTCTCCTCTCCATTTGGGAGGGAAACTTTTCTTCCTTTCTCTAAAACGTAAATTATAAGACAGCTATGAATTATTCACAACTATCTGACAGAGCACTTCAGTATTGCTGCCTATGTACTACTAACCTGAAACAGCAGAAATAGTTCAGATTTGTACTTTAAAAAGACAGTGAAATGTTGAGCAGGGCACTGGGAAGAAAGGAAAGGAAAGGAAAGGAAAGGAAAGGAAAGGAAAGGAAAGGAAAGGAAAGGAAAGGAAAGGAAAGGAAAGGAAAGGAAAGGAAAGGAAAG